CAGAACACCCCGTACTACCTTACCAACAAATAAAATGAATCTAATTCCTAAATGGGACTATTTACCGGATTATATTAGGCGTAGAAAAATTGAGATTCAGGTATACACTGATAATTTTAACGAACACCACAGAACCAAAGTAGTTCAAAATTTAAATGTTAACGATAGAGTTTGGATTACAAACTTAAAGAAATACGGTGTGGTGGTCAATGAAGGACCTGAACCAAGATCATACGTTGTAATAACTGATAACAAGCACTATCGACGAAATAGATCTCACCTAATAAAGGCAAATGATACAGCAAATGATACATTAAACCGCTACCCTTACGAATTGTTTGAATGGCCGGAAGAATTGGAAGACCGGACGTCAACGCAGGAAGATCTAAAACGGGGAGGAAGAGCGGAAGAGAGAAGTCTGACGGAAGAGACTGAACAGCGTCCACTGGTAGGAAATGATTATGTCCAGTCAAACGAAGACAATGGTGTAACTCGAGGTGTTATTCCAGCAGAGCAACAGTTTTACACAACCAGATCGGGTCGCGTGGTAAGGCCACCGAGGTCTCGTTGTGAGTGTGGAAACCTTGCTTGTAGTCATTAGTGCCATAAACCCGTAGTTATAAAGACAAGCCTATAGTATTAAGTTGACAATTCTAAATCAGTTGTTTAAGTGAAACCGAACGTGCCTGATAAACTATTCTAAAGACTTTGAACTTTAAGACATAAAAAGGGGGGATGTAATATAAGGTAAACGTGACAACGTTGCACGGGTCTCGTACACCGGAACCGGAAAGACAGTCACGACGACGGAAGTCACGTGGATGTACGCGACAAGAGGTAGGTGCAAATTAACCAGTATATAACATAGATGAGTGTTATTGGTTGGTAAGTGCCCCCGAGCCACTTTTTGTATTATTTCCTTACAGCACGCGTAGCAGGTGAATTATGAAGACCAAAAGGCATCCAAGCACAAATGCATTTCTATCAAGATATTTTTTAGATAGGAAGATACGTCCTGCAGTGAAAATTTGGGAAATGCAGAGGAATTGAATATACAGGGTGGTGTCGAGATTATATCACCTTCTACTAATCTGCAAAAAGCTTACCACCACTAAAGGTTCCTCAGTCAATCGTCCCAAATACTTCCGCTTCTGCTCCTCAGTGCCCGTCAGCAGTACCGGCTGTTGCTGCAATTCCACAAGACGTTACGTCCCCAGTTTGTCCCAACCTTACCCCATGATTCGACGAGTCAATCAGAACACCGACACCGGTGCACGCATAGCAAATCTCCTCGACGATGGCCGATACCGCCGTACTGTGTCGGTATGTGAAAGTTGGACAGACCAAGGGACCATGCTTTTTTAACAAGAGGCCACGGATACTCGCCCGTTTTGTCGTAGTGACTTGCAACCGGTAGCACGTCCTCCCTTGCGAATTTACGTGCCAACGCTTGCACCTCGCGTTGTGTGTCATCCAAAGCTGTGGTCTATTTCAAGATTACAAGAAGAGATCAATACTATCTTACCAAAATTGTTCCCCCCGGATAAGTCCGGATTCTGTCGAGCAACTGTGGAGGATGCGCTTCTACGCAGAGCGCGTGCATTTAGGGAGAGAATCTGCAATTTTTATTGTTACACTAATTTTCAATTTTTTCAAGCTGGCCATTTCAAATTGCTGTCTGCCCCGTCTCTGTACAATAACATTAAATCAATTTATGAATAAATTCGATGGTCTAGGAGCGGTCTGTACCGGGCCGAGCAAAGTTCACTTTATTGTGTGTAGATAATGAAGTTGGCATTTTAAAACGTTGATTGCCACTACATGCTATCAATATTCTGGTAAATATTTATCCACTGATAACAAAATTGAAATAAATAAAAACAATGAGTCAATAACTTTCGCAAAGATCGCCGTTTTTATTAGGTTAGTAGCAGAGCTGGGCAGTATTCGATTTTGTAAATACTTTTTAGTATTCAAATCCTTTAAAGTATTCAAATATACTTTGTAATTAAATACTTTTATGGAAGCAGTATTTGTTTTTGTAACTCAAATACTTTCACAAATATTTAGTATTCGAATACTTCGCAAAGTATTTGAATACTTTGAGAAGTATTCGAATACTTCGCATAGTATTTGAATAAGTACTTAACCTTCCTTTTTTTACCAAAAATCGACTGCACCAAAATTTCTCGGGAAAACACTTTTTCTTATTAATTTTGGTCCAAAACAATTCGATTAGATTTTTCAATCAAAAGTTATAGGCTAGAAACCAATTTCGAAAGAAAATTCAAAGGACTGTAACTTTGGAAATAGTAGCCCAATCTTGGAACTGTTTGGAATTATGGATTCCACAGGCCACATTCTATAAGAAAATGTTTTTTCCCGGTCGATCTGAGACATTTTTTTTTCGGGCCTCAAAAAAAGGCAGTGTATAACCTTCCTTTTTTACCAAAAATCGACTACACCAAAATTTCTCGGGAAAACACTTTCTCTTATTAATTTTGGTGCGTAGAATCCAAAACAATTCGTACTTTTTCGATCAGACTTCTCAATCAAAAGTTATAGACTAGAAACCAATTTCGAAAAAAAATTCAAAGGCTGTAACTTTTGAACTAGTAGCCCAATCTTGGAACTGTTTGAAATTATGGATTCTACAGGCCACATTCTATAAGAAAATTTTTTTCCGGGTCGATCTGAGACAATTTTTTTCGGGGCTCAAAAAAAGGCAGTGTATAACCTTCCTTTTTTACCAAAAATCGACTACACCAAAATTTCTCGGGAAAACACTTTTTCCTATTAATTTTGGTGCGTAGAATCCAAAACAATTCGTACTTTTTCGATCAGACTTCTCAATCAAAAGTTATAGACTAGAAACCAATTTCGAAAAAAAATTCAAAGGGCTGTAACTTTTGAACTAGTAGCCCAATCTTGGAACTGTTTGAAATTATGGATTCTACAGGCCACATTCTATAAGAAAATTTTTTTTCCGGGTCGATCTGAGACAATTTTTTTTTCGGGGCTCAAAAAAAAGGCAGTGTATAACCTTCCTTTTTTACCAAAAATCGACTACACCAAAATTTCTCGGGAAAACACTTTTTCTTATTAATTTTGGTGCGTAGAATCCAAAACAATTCGTACTTTTTCGATCAGACTTCTCAATCAAAAGTTATAGACTAGAAACCAATTTCGAAAAAAAATTCAAAGGGCTGTAACTTTTGAATTAGTAGCCCAATCTTGGAACTGTTTGAAATTATGGATTCTACAGGCCACATTCTATAAGAAAATTTTTTTCCGGGTCGATCTGAGACAATTTTTTTTTCGGGCCTCAAAAAAAGGCAGTGTATAACCTTCCTTTTTTACCAAAAATCGACTACACCAAAATTTCTCGGGAAAACACTTTTTCTTATTAATTTTGGTGCGTAGAATCCAAAACAATTCGTACTTTTTCGATTAGACTTCTCAATCAAAAGTTATAGACTAGAAACCAATTTCGAAAAAAAATTCAAAGGGCTGTAACTTTTGAACTAGTAGCCCAATCTTGGAACTGTTTGAAATTATGGATTTTACAGGCCACATTCTATAAGAAAATGTTTTTTCCCGGTCGATCTGAGACAATTTTTTTTTCGGGCCTCAAAAAAAGGCGGTGTATAACCTTCCTTTTTACCAAAAATCGACTACACCAAAATTTCTCGGGAAAACACTTTTTCTTATTAATTTTGGTGCGTAGAACCCAAAACAATTCGTACGTTTTCGATTAGACCTCTCAATAAAAAGTTATGGACAAAAAACAAATTTCGAAAAAAAATTCAAAGGGCTGTAACTTTTGAACTAGTAGCCCAATCTTAGACCTGTTTGAAATTATGGATTCTACAGACCACATTCTATAAGAAATTTTTTTTCCGGGTCGATCTGAGACAATTTTTTTTGCGGGCCTCAAAAAAGGCAGTGTATGACCTTCCTTTTTTACCAAAAATCGACTGCACCAAAATTTCTCGGGAAAACACTTTTTCTTATTAATTTTGGTGCGTAGAATCCAAAACAATTCGTACGTTTTCGGTTAGACCTCTCAATAAAAAGTTACAGACTTAGAAACCAATTTCGAAAGAAAAATTCAAAGGGCTGTAACTTTTGAACTAGTAGCCCAATCTTGGAACTGTTTGAAATTATGGATTCTACAGCCCACATTCTATAAGAAAACCCAATCTTAGACCTGTTTGAAATTATGGATTCTACAGGCCAAATTCTATAAGAATCGATCTCGGATCTCGGAAAAGGCAGTACTTTTAAGTTATTCAAATATTTGAGAACAATTTAGAAATGTTTAGGGAAAGTTTCCATTGTCACAAAATCAAATATAAAAATCCGATACATCTGAATACCGAACTCGTATTCTGCCCAGCTCTGGTTAGAAGTATTATTTAAAAGGGGTGTGTTTTTGACCGTTTGTAAACGTCGGTTGTGGCCGTAGAGGTAGAGGGACGAATCTAGAGGCGATTCCTAGCTATTCCGAGGGAGCCGAAGCGGTGCAAAAAATGCGAGCTGTTTTTGTTACCAGCCAGGCGAGCAGTCGACTATGCCGAGCTCGCCTTGGGCTCGCTCAACATTGGTATTTCGTGACCGGAACCGTATATCTACCCCAAATGGAGGGGAAAAGGTGGTGGAGAAACGTTTCTTAGAGGTCTGGTGATAACAGTGTTCTCTTGTTTACGCTCAAATAGATTTCAAAGCAACTACACTCTTTTCCCATTTGTGAAAAATATCATTCCGAAGTCTCTTACATGAAGTACATGTAATACAGCCTTAAGTAGCCTGACCTTCTCCAGTCCAAAAGGTGTCTGAAGGTCCTGGATACGGTAACCTCATTTTCATTTTCGAGATGAATGCCTCTGTAAGTAATTTTAACTTTTAACACTCCAGCATTTACCTCTGCAGGGACGAAACAGTTAAAGACACCGCTTCGCAAAAAGTTAGAATTAGAACCAGAAGGACGAAGAGGAAAGTTCCTATATAAAAAACACATAATTTATTAATATACGTTCGGTAAAAATACGTTTAAAGAGCTGCTCTAATTTGAGCGTTTAGCTAGATCGATGATGTGTCGAGATATGATAATACGCTGGATTTGGGAGGTGCCCTCGTAAATCTGGTATATTTTCGCATCCCGCATCAATTTCTCGACAGGATACTCGGTATTGAAACCGTTCCCTCCAAATATCTGTACGGCATCGCTGGCGTTCTTATTCGCAACGTCGCTTGCGTAACTTTTGGCAATGGCCGCTTCGTACGAGTTACGCTGACCCAGATCGGCAACCCACGCCGCTTTCTGCCATAAGAGTCGCGACGTCTCGACGCCGATAGCCATATCGGCCAACATAAACGCTATCGCTTGATGGCTCGCGATTGGTACGCCGAATGTTTTGCGTTCCAGAGCGTACTTCGATGCCTCGTCCAGTGCACGGTGCGCCAACCCAGTGGCTGCGGCTGCAATCTATAAACTAAGCTTGAGTTCTGCGCGTTTTAAGCAAGTAAAGCGTGTTACCGGCGGACGCGTCTTGTCGAAAGCGCCCATCGCAATTTTAAATCCTTCACCCTCACCCAACAGCACGTTTTCCTTCGGCACGCGAACATCTTCGAACGTTATCCCACGCGTGTCCGACGCCCTCTGTCCCATGTTAATCTCCTTACGACCAGGCGTGACACCGTCCCACTCGCGCTCGACTATGAACCCGGTGAACGCCCTGTTCGCGGGCGTTTTCGGGTCCGGATCCGTGCGTGCCAAGACGAAGTACCTGCGAACACCGCGGTTAGTTGCGTCTTCCCGCCCAGCTAGCTTTTACCAGTTGGCGACACCGGCGCCGGTAATCCACATTTTTTGACCATTTAAAATCCATTCGTCTCCCTTTTTTACGGCTTTGGTCTTGAGACCGTTCACGTCAGAGCCGGCGCCCGATTCGGTGACTGCATACGACTGGAAACGAAGACGTGCTGTAGATTCGTGTTATTGGTTGCTGCCCAAGCCAATGTTTGCAATATTTCCTTCTAGGTAGCAGGTGAATTATGAAGACCAAAAGGCATCCAAGCACAAGTTAATTGAATTGAATAATGAAAACAATTCATACTTTGTGTTTATGTATATAGTTTTTGCACAAAAAATCGTGCATCCTGTATATAATATTCTCTTTCGTCAACCAGTATGTCAAAATGACGGCAGGCCCCTTAATATACTTACACATAATTTTTCCCTATTAATTGTAAATTGTAAAATGAAAATATTACAAGAAAATAATATATATAGGGCGTTTCCGTTTGATAGTTTGCATACATACAAGGTGCACATTTATGCATTTTTGCAAAAAATTTTTTTTAATTCAAAAATATGGTGTACAGGGTGTCTCTCAAAAAGATCCGAATTCTTATTCCGACATACGTTCAGAACACTCCCTAGATACTGTTTCAATATTCAAAAATGCGTTTCTTATTTCCATTTGTATAGGATGTTTCAAATTTCAAAGAAAGAATTTTTTTAATTGAATAATATTGTATACGGGGCGTCTAAAAAAATCAGAATTCTTATTCGAGCATACGCTTAGAAAACTCCCCCGATACTGTTTCAATATTCAAAAATGCGTTTCTTATTTCCATTTGTATAGGATGTTTCAAATTTCAAAGAAAGAATTTTTTTAATTGAATAATATTGTATACGGGGCGTCTAAAAAAATCAGAATTCTTATTCGAGCATACGCTTAGAAAACTCCCCCGATACTGTTTCAATATTCAAAAATGCGTTTCTTATTTCCATTTGTATAGGATGTTTCAAATTTCAAAGAAAGAATTTTTTTAATTGAATAATATTGTATACGGGGCGTCTAAAAAAATCAGAATTCTTATTCGAGCATACGCTTAGAAAACTCCCCCGATACTGTTTCAATATTCAAAAATGCGTTTCTTATTTCCATTTGTATAGGATGTTTCAAATTTCAAAGGAACAATTTTTTTAATTGAATATTGTATACGGGGTGTCTAAAAAAATCAGAATTCTCATTAGGGCATACGCTTATAAAACTCCCTAGATACTATTTCAATATTAAAAAATGCGTTTCCTATTTCCATTTGTATAGCATGTTTCAAATTACAAAGAAACAATTTTTTAACTTGAATATTGTATACGGGGTGTCTAAAAAAATCAGAATTTTTATTCGGACATACGTTTAGAAAACTCCCCCGACACTGTTTCAATATTCAAAAATGCGTTTCCTATTTCCATTTGTATAGGATGTTTGAAATTACAAAGAATCAATTTTTTTAATTGAATATTGTACATGGGGTGTCTAAAAAAATCAGAATTCTTATTCGGGCATACGCTTAGAAAACTCCCCTGATACTGTTTCAATATTCAAAAATGCGTTTTCTTATTCGGGCATACGCTTAGAAAACTCCCCTGATACTGTTTCAATATTCAAAAATGCGTTTCTTATTTCCATTTGTATAGGATGTTGCAAATTTCAAAGAAACAATTTTTTTAATTGAGGAATATCGTATACGGGGTGTCTACAAAATCAGAATTCTTATTCGGGCATACGCTTAAAAAACTCCCATGATACTGATTCAAAATTCAAAAATGCGTTTCTTATTTCCATTTGTACAGGATGTTGCAAATTTCAAAGAAACATTTTTTTAAATTGAAGAATATCGTATACGGGGTGTCTATAAAATCAGAATTCTTATTCGCGCAAACGATTAGAAAAGCCCTCGATACTGTTTCAATATTAAAAAATGCGTTTCATATTTCCATTTATTTGTACAGGATGTTTCAAATTACAAAGAAACATTTTTTTAATTGAATAATATTGTATACGGGGTGTCTAAAAAAACAGAATTCTTATTCGGGCATACGCTTAGAAAACTCCCCCGATACTGCTTTAATTTTCAAAAATACGTTTTTTATTTCCATTTGTATAGGATGTTTCCAATATCAAAGAAACAATTTTTTTAATTGAATATTGTATACGGGGTGTCTAAAAAATCAGTTGTTATTCGAGCATGCAATTAAAAAACTCCCCAGATACTGTTTCAATATTCAAAAATGCGTTTCCTATTTCCATTTGTATAGGATGTTTCAAACTACAAAGAAACAATTTTTTCAATGGAATATTGTATGCGGGGTGTCTAAAAAATCAGAATTCTTATTCGCGCAAACGCTTAGAAAAACCCCCGATACTGTTTCAATATTAAAAAATGCATTTCATATTTCCATTTATTTGTACAGAATGTTTCAAATTACAAAGAAAAAATTTTTTAATTGAATAATATTGTATACGGGGTGTCTAAAAAAACAGAATTCTTATTCGGGCATACGCTTAGAAAACTCCCCCGGTACTGCTTTAATATTCAAAAATACGTTTTTTATTTCCATTTGTATAGGATGTTTTCAATATCAAAGAAACAATTTTTTTAATTGAATATTGTATACGGGGTGTCTAAAAATCAGTTGTTATTCGGGCATACAATTAAAAAACTCCCCAGATACTGTTTCAATATTCAAAAATGCGTTTCCATTTCCATTTGTATAGGATGTTTCAAATTACAAAGAAACAATTTTTTTTTGGAATATTTGTATGCGGGGTGTCTAAAAAAATCAGAATTTTTATTCACGCATACCTTTAGAAAACCCCCATGATACGGTTTTAATATAAAAAAATGCGTTTTTTATTACCATTTGCATAGGATGTTTCAAATATCAAAGAAACAATTTTTTAATTGAATATAATATTGTATACGGATGTGTAAAAAAAAATCAGAATTCTTATTCGGGCAAACGCTCAGAAAACTCCCATGATATTGTTTCAATATTTAAAAATGCGTTTCTTATATTCATTTGTATAGGATGTTTCAAATTACAAAGAAACAATTTTTTTAATTGAATATTGTATACGGGGTGTCTAAAAAAATCAGAATTCCTATTCGGACATAGAAAACTCCCCCGATACTGTTTCAATATTCAAAAATGCGTTTCTTATTTCCATTTGTATAGGATGTTTCAAATTTCAATGAAACAATTTTTTTCATTGAATGATATTGTATACGGGGTGTCTAAAAAAAAATCAGAATTCTTAATTGGGCAAACGCTTAGAAAACTCCCCTGATACTGTTTCAATATTATTTCTCCCAAAATATTTTGATAAATGGCATGGCATACAGGGTGTTTCCAAAAAAGCTGCGAATTCTTGTATGTTTCAATATTCAAAAATGCAATTGTCGTTTCCATTTTTATCAAATTATTCTTGTATACACAAAGTGGCCAAAGATAAATTCTTTTATTCTACGAAAATTTGGGAAATGTAGATTTGTTGAATATGAATTGTATAGTATATACAAGGTGATGTCAAGAATATCACCTTGTATATGCTCTACTAACATGCAAGCGCTTACCACCACTAAAGGTTCCTCAGTCAGTCGTCCCAGATATTTCCGCTTCTGCTCCTCAGTGCCCGCCAGCAGTACCGGCTTTTGCTGCAATTCCGCATCACGTTACGTCACCATTTTGTCCAAACTTACCCCGAGACTCGATGCTTCGATCCCAGCTCCGACACCGGTGCACGCATAGGCAATTTCCTCGGTGATTAAGCAACCGTTAAAGGTCGACTGGCCCATACCGCCGTACTGTGTCGGTATGTGAGAGTTGGACAGACCAAGGGACCACGCTTTTTTCACGAGCGGCCACGGATACTCGCCCGTCTTGTCGTAGTGACTTGCAACCGGTAGCACGTCCTCCCTCGCGAATTTACGTGCCAACGCTTGCACCTCGCGCTGGGTGTCATCCAAAGCTGCACTGTTTAATCTCAAGATTACAAGAAGAGATCGTTCGTATCTTACCGAAGTTGTACCCCCCGGATACATCAGGATTCGGTTGAACAGCTGTTGAAGTTGCACCTCTAAGCAGAGTTGGTGCATTTCGCAAGAGAATCTGCAATTTTATCGTATTACACTATTGCTCTTATCTATCTTAAGTTAACCTTCTTCAAGGTGGACATTTCAAATTGCTGTCTTCCTCTTCACTGATTTAACATTGAATTGAAGGTTTATTTATAAATTTAATGTTGGTGATCTTTAGACCATTGTAGGTTACCTAGATTGTAAATTGGCCTAGTCTAAAAGGCAAAGTGCCGATTTTATTAATTTTTGTTTACACTCAAATTGCAATACTTTATAATGAATGGCAAATGGCATTGTTTATTCACTGAATAAACAATGATAATATGGTTTTATCGTCTCGCACAGGTAAAGAGAGTGATGTGGACTCCCGCCATTTCTCGGTTCCCACGCTTTTATTTGAATGACATTCAAATTTGAATGGGATTTCATCGTTCGTCCTTCCTGCTTTTCATTCTACATTCTCTCCCTGCAAGTAGAATAGAAGCAGGCCTTTGAGAGGTTCCACCCTGTATACTATATACACCTTACTACTGCTTACTACGATACATACATACGTAACGTGTATCACTGATCGCTCCCTAACACTTTACTCTGAATGCAGCCAATTCTTCCGTCAACATTATTTACATAACCTCACTTTTGGATCTCGGTATTATGTTACCAAACTTCATAGAAAAAGTGAAATTATTACAAATATGGAGGAATTCGAAAGGGCTACCGATAATCTTCGCTTATCGGCCGACCACCGTGAGCTATTCAAGACACTGATGACGATACGAAATCACCTGGAGGGCCCCCTGCCCGCCGTCAAAGAATCCATTAAAAAAATCCAAGAGAAAGACTCGCTCAAAGTATTGATTTCGTGCTTACAACAGAAACGACAACCGATCATCAACGTCTCGCTGAGCATACTCGGTCGGTGTTGCATGGAGAGAAATTTCGTTCGAATCTCCGTAAGTTGACGGTCTCTCGCATTTGTGACGAACGTGTCTCTCGTAGGTCAACCGATATAATCTGGTCCATCATCTCAATAGCCTGATTAAGCGGCACGAGGTTAATAGTATTCGGGTGCGTGTCTTCCGCATAATCGGCAACATGTGCCAGCACTGGGATCGGTTCGCCAACACCATAATCGAGAAGGAACCGAGCCTGCACCTTGTCGAACGGATCGTGAACTACCTAAAGACCTCGTCCTCGCCGAATTTGGAGGCGGAAAGTGACAACTCCGAAGATGCCGCCGCGATAATGAGTGCGATTCGCGCTCTCCGCGAGTTGGCCAATAAGGAGACCATAGCACGGTTGATCGATTTGGGCGTGCTGAATGCTGTTGGTGTTGTGCTTGTGCGTTGGACACCATTGTGGATCGAGAGGAAGAGGCAGGTGGATCTGCTGTTGGCCGCCGTGCGATTGATTTACAGCTATTCGAAGTACAATGTTCCGAAGTCCATTTCTGAAGTGAGTATGTTACATTTGCAGGTAGTGGCACGATCATACAAACAATAGACCTATTTTTGCCTAACCTCATTTTTTTAACTGGAACACAACAATTAAAAAATTCAAAAATCTTTTTGATTTAAAATTATTTGAACCATATTTAAAACAGCAATCTTTTTGGATCTTTTTTTAATCACTTGAATCTTTAAACATTCAATATTGGTTCAAAACAATCAGAAAAAGATTTAAAAGATTCAGAAATTTTTCTTTTTTGAATTTTTGTAATCACTCGACTCTCCAAAAATTCAATATTGATTCAAAACGATCAAAAAAGATACAACAAATCGAAAAGTTAAAAATTTTTTTATATTTTTGAACCATATTTTCATTTTTTTGGATCGTTTTTAATTTTTTTAGATCTTTTGAATGTTTTTGAATCACGTAAATATTCAAAAATTCAATATTGATTCACCTGTCCAAAAAGATTAAAAAAATTGAAAAATAAAAAGATTCTTTAAATCATTTGAACCATATTTTAATTTTTTTTAAATCTCTTTGAATCACGAACCTCATTTTTTTAATGGACCGCCCTGTATACTTTTGTTTAAAAAACAGCATGTGAAATTCTTTTCACAAATGTAACGCAACAAATTCAATACTGTTTCAAAACGTCCTAAAAATATTAAAAAAAATTTGATCCATATTTGTAATCTTTTTGGAATCATTTGAGTCTTCAAGAATTCAATATTGATTCAAAACAATCCGAAAAAGATAAAAAAATTGAGAAATTTTTCTTTTTTGAATTTTTTTAATCGCTCGAATCTTCAAAAATTCAATATTGATTCAAAGCGATCAAAAAAAGATACAACAAATCGGAAAGTTAAAAAATATTTTTGATTTTTTGAACCATATTTTCATTTTTTGGGTCGTTTTTGATTCTTTTTGAATCACTTGATTAATTCAAAACGTTCCTAAAGTTTAAAAAAATTGAAAAATTTAAAAATCTTGGTTTTTTTAAATCACTTGAACCATATTTTAATTTTTTTAATCTTTTTTAAATTTTTTGGATGAATCTTTGTTTAATACAATCCCTGATGTTATATTCGAATAGAGAATTTAATATGCTGACATTTCATTAAAATACCATGAAGGGTAGAAAGTGGCCTCGAAAATCCTCAAAATCAGGTGGCCTTTAAATTCTTATGTGTGAAGAGCACTCCTCCCCATTTATTATCTCATTTTTTAAAATGGAACACCTTGTTTATTTTTGTCTGAATAGAGGATATGAAAATTTTGTCAAAGCTATAAAACAAAGCCAATAGTTTGAAAACGACCCAAAAGATTTTGAAAATTCAGAATTTTTTGATTTTTAATGTCATTTGAACCAAATTTTAATTTATTTTAAAACTTTTGTTATCTTTTTGGATCTTTTTTGAATTTGTTTGATCACTTGAATCTTAAAAATTCAATATTATTTCATAGCGCCACAAAGAAGATTGAAAAAAATTCAAATTCAAATTTTTTTCAATTCTTTTTTGAATTTTTTTGAATCATTTCAATCTAGGTTTAATATACCTAATCCCTGGTGTGTTAACAATTTTGAATAGAAACTTTAATATACAATCTTTTTAGATTAAAATATACAGGGTGGTTATTACAAAAATGAGGTTAGGTCTTACAATTTCGGGATCTTTTCATTTTGGAATTATGGAGATTCTCAAAATCTGGGAATTTTGAATCTGTAAAGATTTGGAATCTGTAGGATCTTGGAAGGGCAGAAATACGTCAATTGTTTTAAGCGTCACCATCCGCCATGTTTGGTATGTTAAATGATTCGTTTAGTTGCAAGCCGCCGAAGGTGGAGACGCGATGCTGTGCTTGGGAAAAATGGTGGAGCTATGCCCGACCGTTATTTTACGCATCATTATAAACCTGAAGCACATAACGACATCGAGATCTGACCTACCGATGGGCACGATATCCGAGTGTCTCATCGACAAACTGAAAAACCCCAGCGGTTTTTCGGACGGCTACGAAGGTATCGCCCCGCGACAATCGTGCGGATCTCATCCCTTCCATTTGTAGACAAAGCTTACCGCGAATGTCTCAAGTGTCTGTGTTATTTCATACAGAGCTTGTTGATTCAGGAAAGCGCCCTGGTGAATACGGTAATTGTGGCGTTACTTGCAATTCTGGATAGTTTCGAGAGCATGTCCGACATTATGGTAGGTTGCACGGTGTGGCAACTCTGTATGAAACGTTCGTGTTGTTTTTTTAGTTAAAAAACAGCACACTAATCGTCGCATCTTTGAACGTTTACGTGACGTCCGACAACTTCGCACTGCTCATGCTACAAAATGCCGTAACGGGCATACTTGTGAAGAAATTGGACTTGATATTGGGAGCGAACGCGAGTTATCACGAGGTGCACGAGTGCCATTCGAAAACGTCCGGGCACAACGCGACTACGGACGTAAGTGCGAAGTGTCCCCCTACTACTTACCGCAATGGTAGTAGTAGGGGGATACTCGATAGGTAGTAGGTACTAATTGTGTTTGCGTAGAGCCCTCGAAAGATGGGATGTAGGAGTACGAAGTCGGTGGTCGAGTTAACGTTCGACAGGGCGTCGAGCCCCTACTGCGAATCATTGATCTCGAGTGGAAGTCAAAGTCCGTGGTCCAGTCCGAATATCAGCGAACTGGAAGGTAGGTCGATATCATCGTAACAAACCGCAGCAACGTACGACGGAATTAACGAACGAGCGCGTGTTTTGTTTTTGTTGTACGTTGTGGAAGCCCTGCCAACTTGACGTGACAGGTTTTCTACTGCAAAACCAGCGAAAAAACGGCGAAAGCAGATAAACAGCTTTATTGAGAAACGGACCCTGTTTATCTGTTTACAAGTTGATTTGTTAACTGACGACCTTGAACTTGGCGCCCGCGCTGACGAATGCGGGTTGCTGAAACCTATACATGCGCCCTGTTAGGAATAAGACTTTGCCAGTTTCGCGGTATGTGCTCCATTGGGTCAATTATGCGCCATTCTTTCGCTGCGACACTAACTTGGCCGGGCCAAACGTTATTTAGATAATCAGATAGGTATTCGAATTTTACAGCGACTGAGTCAGATTCTGACGATTATTCTCCTGTGTGTAGCGACGCTGAATGCGAAGTTCAACCGGTCGACGACCTGGACACCCCGCATTCGCCCCATAACGACGAAAGGGACGAACGCTCTAGTCTCGCAGGTAACTTGGAGCGTCTTTTAGGGACCGACTACAATATTGTAAATTGTTCAGGGTCGACGCTGGCCGATACGAGCACTACACTTCTCAAGAAGGAGATGGTTGCCAAAATACTCAATCTTGTACAGTACTTTCAAGCGCTGCGACCCGCGCCTATGGAGTTGATCAGTCCCCCTGATTTTCTTTTAAGGCTACTCATGCTCTGTGCTCCCAGCAACCACGCGTTCCGTGCGGTCGATCCGGTATCTTTGGTTAAAATGATCGCAAGGTAGGTTTTTAAAAAAAGGAGAAGGTAGAGAAAGAAAGAAAGAGAGAAAGAAAGAAAAGAAGAGAGAGAGAGACGTTCAACGATAGCATAGATAGAGTAAATACAATAAGAGTTCCAGGCGCTTATTCATTTGTGGCCACCTTTCACACACCTCATAAGTAGATGGCGATGTAAGCGTGGGGAAAATTAAAGTCACTAAATATAGAAAGTACCGCAATCTATTGGGCTCGTGTGTTAGAGAGAGAACGCATGATTTTTGCCCAAAAATGGCGGAAGTTACCAGATTCTAGTAACTTTAATGTTAGGGATTGTTCCACCTGTTTGGAGATCTGTATATATTTTTATAAAACATGACTATGAAGTTAGGTTATGAAAATTGACAGCTATTCAGATTTTATTTGTCAATTTTTTTTAAGTTGGCAGCAAATTTGCCCAAAAATGGCGGATGATTGCGGTACTTTCTATATCTAGTGACTTTAGGGAAAATTAAGTCACTAAATATAGAAAGTACCGCAATCCATTGGGCTCGTGTGTTAGAGAGAGAACGCATGATTTTTGCCCAAAAATGGCGGAAGTTACCAGATTCTAGTAACTTTAATGTTAGGGATTGTTCCACCTGTTTGGAGATATCTGTATATATTTTTATAAAACATGACAGTACTATGAAGTTAGGTTATAAAAAATTACAGCTATTCAGATTTTATTTGTCAATTTTTTTAAGTTGGTAGCAAATTTGCCCAAAAATGGCGGATGATTGCGGTACTTTCTATATCTAGTGACTTTAGGGAAAATTTTCATTCAGCGCCCCCTGTTATGTAGGACAGATCACTAAATTGGGTATCTGAATTAGCGCGTTTATGAGCCACTCAAACCCTCGGCTTTACGAAATCATTTATAATGTCTGACCTTGAACTGATAAATTTACGTACATTCTCTTTAAATAAATGAAAGAATTTTTCACTTTTCTTTATTGCCCGACCTTTCAAGAGGATACATTGATTGTACTCTGTCATAATTTATTACCTACTTGCAATACTATAAAATGTGCGAAACGAAATCCAATACGCACACAACAATTAAAAGTACCTATAGAAGGTTCATTAAATAATAAATTTGTTGAGGGTTTTGACAAACTTATTGTCCCCATTTAAATTCGAGTACATAAAGATTACCAGATTTGTACCGCCCATTATAGATAAGGTTTATTAATAAATTGATCGTTTGCTCGTTGGAAATTTCAAACCAATTTTTAAACTTCTCGCAGTACCTACTTCCGATACAATTCCAAATAATCTTCATGTCCGATTATTCGCTTCGAACAAAGTCTATTTAGTTTTTTTTTGTAGAAATTAATGTTACGCGTCCGGTCGTACTATTGATATCCATTTTCCAAATTTTGAAACTACATAAACAAAATTTAAATATGACGTTATGAGAAAAAAATCGTGTGAGATCGAATGGACATCAGCGCATTTTTGTGTGGTAGACCAGTTTCTATTAGCCAGTTATATTGCAACATAAAAGTTGCAAAGTAACTTTTTCAAAAGGTAACCGCGTGGTGATTTTTTAGTCTTCTTCTGCAGTTGTAGAAAGATGAGGAGTGTACTAATTGTACTTACCAGGTCGCATAATTAACAATTCTTTAGGGACGGGGCTACATGATGTGGGGTCAGTGACATCCGGGCGCCATCCCCGAGCGTGGTTTACTAAGGTGGTGATTTTTAGTTTTTTCTTATCTTGTTCTGCAGGAAAAACTGAAAAATCACCACGTTAGTAAACCACGTCGGGGATGGCGCCCGGATGTCAGCGACCCCACATCATGTAGCCCCGCCCCTAAAGAATTGTTAATTATGCGGCCCGGTAGGTACAAGGTACACTCCTCATCTTTCTACAAGGGATCTTGTACGGGGTCTCATTTGCTGCCAGCCAGCTAGCCCGCCGGCCAATGTGAGATTAAAAGCCACCGTTTTACAAATAAATGTGCAAAAAATGCGTTAAAAACAGATAAATCACTGTTTGTTGCTAAACAATGGCCTAGAAGGTCCTAAAACTGTCGTCTAACTTCAAATTCAATATGGGCATAGCTTTAGCCATATAATACGCAATGCCAAAAGTTGAGTCGAATCAATTCAAAATTCACAGTGCCCTTTTCGCATCTCGACTAATTTATTATAAACCGAATTGCAAACTTTTTTATTTATGGAAGCATTTAAATGAAATTTGATAGATAGCCACATGAAACAAAGAAAAATCTAACGTTAGTTTCAAAATTTAGGTTTGCGCACGCGCAGTGTCTACTTTCTTATTTATGAAAGCATTGAAATGAAATTCTTCTTATAAACAGAAATTGAAGTAGGACATCAAAATGGATTGCACATATGCAACACTATCTTTCATATTTGTGGCCGGTTTTTGAGGATTTTAACAGAAGTTGCATCTTACAAATGAGAAATGAATGCAAGTGGAAATGCGCTTTTTGTAAATCGTTTACTTTTTTAACTTGTTGTCTTTAGTATTGAGTGGGCGTGGTTTCAGCTAAGGCTGCTCTACCAACCTAACCCACTACACATTTACAAATACCCATGCCCGTACCCGGATTCGAACCAGGGACCCTTAGTAACGTAGTCCAGCTTCAACTCAACTGCGACACACGGGCCGGCTTAAGAATGACGTTATTGTTTGTAAAACATCCAATCACATGTCTTAACAACACTGTTAGCTGACAACAAAGTCAAGTATGCTTTATAATACGGGCCGATAATCATTTTGAAATTAACAATTTTGTGGTTTTCCCTGTATTTCTTACCCGAGCGAAAATTTTGATTTTACCGTATTAAGTTTTAAAGATTAAAAAGAGCACATGCTCAAAAATAAGTTAAAACCAACAACTTTTTTTTAAATGAAAATACATTTTTATTTTCCTTTTGGAATTTTACATAGTGTTTCATGTACAGGGTGTCCCATTTTCGACACTTTTATAGGCGTTATGGGCTCTTTTTGGGTCAGACTTGCAATGGTAAAATCAAAATTTGCACATCTTTGCTTCAGAGATACGGAGATAAATCAAACAATTTTCAATTTTAGAATGACCGTATATATTCTTAGTAAAAACAGAAACAAAAAAATGTTTCTTGAAAATTATTGATAAATAATCTGCCGTTTTCAAAATAAATAATTATACAGTACTATCGGGTGAAAAAGTTATTGGACCTAACTTAATTTTATTTAAATGGCATACCCTGTATATTTCAATCTAAAGATAGCATATTCAATTCTGTTTTTTTAAATATAAAAAAATTCAATATCGATTCAAAAAGGTTCAAAAAAGATTTCTTAAAAATTCAAAAATTCGTTTGTAGTAATTTCTAAATTGTTCAGTGTCAGAAAAAAGGGCGATAGTTCGTAGGAAACAGTTCCTTTTGTTGCGACCTTTAATTAGAATACCATGAATGGGTAAAACGTGTGGTTGCTCCCCCCCCCCCCCTCGCCTTTCCCATTTTCAAAAGTTTTACTTGCCACTAAAGGTATGCGCATGTAAAATGGTATGACTCTATTAGTGTGACGTCAAATTTGAGCGGGAAATTCGAAATGCTGGACTTGGCTGTTTTACTGTAGAAGATGTTGACCCCTATCACCCAATACATTAAGTATAACTTTTAAATAGGTCCTCTTTACGGGCTTATACTGACCTTATGCGCATTAAATAAGCATATCGGCCCTCTTATATCGAAACACTGATTACTTAACTTTAAAAGCAAGTAAACGACCAAGTCTAGCAATTGGGAAAATGTAAACACAAGAACAAGGTCATATCATAATCATTCCATCTTGCCAACCGTAAAGTGTAAATATGGTAGACAATATGGGTTACGTTGCGCTAATAAGCCCCCCAGGTATGATCATGAAATTGATAGAAATGGATAGAGGACACCTTAATTACACGTTATCAGTTAAAAAATTTGCGGAAGAAGCCTTACATTTTCCACAATCTTCATTCAAAGTTCACTTCATTTCGTCGTAAGTGAGGTTATATTACTCCAAATTTCATGATTGTTTTTCAGTTGGTACTGGTGTTCTTAACATTCCTGAGTGCCAACTTTAGTTAGTTTCTTAAGAGGTTATGTTATTTTTCCACGATTTAATTAACTTTAAACAATGATATACAACTTTATACATGTTTTTAATTATACCATAATAGCAGTAAGTAGTTCTCTACATCCTACATTGCTAAGCAGCGATTCATAAGCGTTCCAAGTTAAGCGGTGATCGCTAACGTAGCTGCGATCCATGGAAAATGCGAGAGATGTTCCTTCCCCTCTCGACCGTATTAGGCGGTGGATGCTAAGCGTCGATTCATATGAAACATGCAGGAAGTGCCCGGGTTTCCCCTCTCGGTGATCGATACCAAGAAATTTTTGCCACATGCAACCTTCTCTACGACATCCTTCTTCCCTAATGCATTCAAGTTTAGACTGTATAAGCTTCAAAAAGTGGTGTTATTAAAATGTTAGTCACATGGAAGTGTCGCTTATTTGGTGTTTAAGTCGAACAAAACCTAAAATTGAATTGTATATTATACCTGTTGTACTACTTTTATTACATTCTGTTAATATACACGTTAAATCCAGCATATTTCATTTTAGTAGACGAAGAAGTTAACATAACCTCCTACAAAAATTTACTGTCACCTTTGTTTATTAGTGGAAAAAGAGCTATCACATAAAATTTTTCAGTTTCGCCAACTTAAGAATTACAAAATATACGTAAAATAACACCAGATTTCCAGAAAATGAGGTGAACTTTTAATTAAGATTGTGGAAAATTTAGGCCCTCTTCCGCAAATTTTTTTAATCTAAACGTGTTATTAAGGTGTCCTCTATCCATTTCTATCAATTTCATGATCATACCTGGGGGGCTTATTAGCGTAACGTACCCGACATATGTTTAATTTTTAATTATAACGCAATTAATGGATTTTATTTAACTATTTTTAAAGTTAAGCAATCAGTGTTTCGATATGAGAGGGTCGATATGTTTATTTAATGCGCATAAGGTCAGTATAAGCCCGTAAAGAGGACCTATTTAAAAGTGATCCTTAATGGATAGGGCGATAGGGGTCAATATATATCCGACAATAAAACAGACAAGTCCTGCAATTCGAATTTCGCGGGCTATTATGACGTAACCACTAATAGACTCTATTGGTTGTCGCATGTTAAAAGTTTAGAACCATTCCCGTAAAAGTAGTTCCTGACTGACGGAGAACACGCAAAACAATAGCAGCAGCGCTAAAAAACACAAAAAAAAGTACAACCTTTGCCGATCTACGTTTCATTGCATTGCTGGTTACTGGTTAAATTGTAGAGCATATGTGGTCTGGTAAAAATAAGATGCAAGTTGTCTTCCGTGTTGAAGAATTGAAGAAACAACCCACACAGGAGAGCCTTTATAATTTCAAATTCTAGATATCAAAATTAAAACTTCTCTCCTAATTTTTACGCCTTTTGTTTTGTCATATTTCTTCGAATTAAGCGAATTATCTTTTACACATTGTATAGATAGTGTCATATTTCATAGTAGATTAGATTGTACACTTGCAGTTGAGCGTTGACCATTACAGTAAATGTCGTAAATTGCTCCATTGCTGAAACCAAATAAGTACGTTGGGCGTTTGTTGAACTGTATTTCGGTTGAAATTGTATTTATGTCTTAAAACGTAGAGAAAAATTTTAATGAAACTCTAAAGAGTCTAAAGTGTGAGAGTGAAGGAACTACGTACGTTTTTCTAAACTAGATTTACGAGAACGCATTTCGTAACTAGGCGCTCCTCGACTAAACTAGCGCCATCTCAGAACGAGGGGACCGCTTATCGGCACGCTAATGAACGTACGATTTTCTATTTTTACGGTTAGTTACACCCCTTTAAAAAGCAGATGACAGCATCTACTGAGCGAAAATTAGCAATGTCAGTTTATCCTATTTGTTTGTAACTCTTATTGTATTTCCTCTATGGTGATAGTTATCGAATGCCTTTTGGACTGCATAATGACCCAATCATCGTCTGCAGATCGATTTAGCTCGACAAAAAAATCGATTTTCACCAGCGTTAAGTTCTACCAGAATGCCACTCGCACTACGTAATGAGCCGTTTATCAGCGGATCGATAAAGATTTTCCATCCGAGTTTCTTAATTTACAGGAGACCAGAGTATCTGATTTCGCTAATGCAGTCGAGCTTTTTCCCGACGGTTTACAAAATGACAATGTCCACACACGACTCTTGCTGCACGTGCGACGAATTATACAAGCTGGGCAGAGATATTTTGAAGACGGTCACCGTAACGGTCGAACACAAGTGCGGAAAAGGCGACATTGCGCACCAGCTGTACCGAGGAAACGACGAAGTCAAGCGGCAAATCGTGCCGATTATACCTTTAATCGTTAAGTAAGTGCGCCACGCTCGAAACTCGAAGGCTGACGCGCTTATTTTCAGCAACAACAAAGTGCTGAACCAGCTGATGCGCATTGGCGGCGGTTTGGAGGTGCTGCTGGGCTTGGTTCGGGAAGACTCCGACTTGCAGGCCAGCAGCATTCTCGGCCTGTCCTGTCTGAGCAAGAAGTTGGGCATCGTCAATCCGAAATCGGTAAAGGAGAGCAGCAAGTTCGCCGTTCCGCTTCAGCTGGAGCTGGACAACTACGCGTTGCGGGAGAGCTGCTCGGTCGTCTTCTTCACGTTGGACGACGGAAGCGTCGTGCACGCAGATCGCGAGCTGCTGTGCGAAAGGTCGGTGTACTTTAACCAAATGCTGTCGGGCACCTTTCGGGAGGCTCGCGAGCACGAAATCTGCCTGCACAAGGTCAGCAATAACGGACTGAAGTTTCTGTTCCTACTGATGCGATTGGATCTGGACACCAAAGATGTCTACATGTTCGACGTTAACCTGAAAACGCTATTGGACGTGATTATTTTAACAGACCGTTACTTATTGGAGGATTACTGCGCCTGTTTAACCAATTCCGTGCAGACCTTTAAATTCCAACCCGATTCCATGGCGACCATCTACGACTGGTCGTTGGAATCGCACACCGACATTCTTCGAATTGAGGCGGTTGCGTACGCCTTGGTCGGAAATATGGCGGAGCACGATCGGTATACGATGTTTAGGAGCCTTTTAGACTTGAACCGTACCGAAGATTTGATGAAGGACATTTACGGATTGTTGAGTCGACAATTTAAGATGATATGAACCCGCGTATGCGCCGTAGGTGGTTTAATTTTAGCATTGAAAATGCTTGGCCTGCGTACAGTTAATTGTATAGAATATTTATAATAAATGGTTGCAATTATTCGAGTTGACTGCAGTTTGGCGCCCGAGCAGGATCATCGGGAATGGGTATTTTGGTAGGAATGGTTGGCTACTAAATAGTGTGGATACAGGTACGTCATGGAGAGAGTAGGGAGATTTGTACATATTACAAAAAGTAGAAACAATAATGTATTGTCTTATGCGGGGGGGGGGGGGGTACATGAAGATTGAATTAGTTTTTCTGTACCATGAGAGTGCTAGGGGTTTCTTTGCCAAGGATACTCGGCCCCCTTGGTACTATATTTTCCTCAAAAATGGTTAGCTAATTAGTCGCGCGGTTGCCAGTTCTCAAGAATGTGTGCAACATCGTCAGTCCTATATACAGGGTTAGAACCTCTCAGTGTTGCCACTCATACGGCAATTTGCGAAAGTCCTGAGGCAGAGCGCGTGTGTAGGAGGACGTTACCGTGCTGCTCCCCCCCTACTTATATATCAATTGGATTACCTTTTCCCAAAGATTACCATGAGAATGAATAGAGCAGAAATTGTCGAGCCTTCCTTTGCTGGGGGCATTCCAGACCCCTAATTTCTGTGGTGAGTGTGTGGGGAGGGGGGGGGGGGTACTACTTAAACATTATTACTAGCACTATAGGTAATAGGGAAAGAATTATTGAGTCTGTTTAGAACTGGATTACGTACTTATCACTGAACTGAACTGGAGTTAACGGATGAAGGGGGGGGGGGGGTAACGGTCCCTTTAAGTTCTTTTTAAATAACTCGTAAACGATGGGGTTCTGTTACTTCATCAGACAGAGCAGATACTGAAGCAGGCACCCGTTTACTTAAGGTGTAAGTTATTTCTGGGGTCGATTTGTTATTATCTTAGTTCTCTATTTTCGCCGCTAGAGGCTATCCGAGTGTTTATAGGTTTCATTGATCCTACTTCATTCTTTCGCCGCTAGAGGTTGTGATCTTTTATTTTCTGACCAGAATCACGCCATTTTTTTCTTCGACTTTCGTCATGCCTGTTTAAAAGGGTTCTTAATGGCGAAGTTATTCTCTTACTGTAGATATTTCGCTGACGCTTTTTGCGTAAATGTTTTACAAGTTCTAAGGTCATTTACTTTATGTATCAAAATTTGACTTTGAATAATAATTTTTTAGGCTTCTTTCTTCTGGTTTACTCCTTTCTTAGTTATTGTGCGTCGAGATCCTTTGTGGAAACCGCAGAATTTTGGATTGTTCAATATTGCGCAAGGAAAGTCCCATTGGAAAATTCCACCAAGCCAATCATGTGATTCTATCTACATTGCCTGGTGACTCACTTACATGGAAGTTGTTTACACCATTATTCCTGGAAGTATTAACGAAACCTTTTGGAGATTATCGCTTCGATATTTTTGATTTTAGGTAGGTACATTTGGTCGTTTCTGAAACCTGATTTTGTAGACGATTACTTTTGTTACTTCTGTTTCGTTCCATTGTATCCTTCAGATTAATTTGTTATACAAGATATTTAGTTGCCGTTAATAACACAGATCGCCAAATATAAAAATTCATATACTATATCGAACAGCGAAAGATTTATTTGCAATTAAGGAAAAACCAGAATGACATCACAAAACGGAAGGAAACTTTCAGGTCCGAAGAGATCGTGGCAACCGCGCTGACTTTCCACAATATGTTTCTTTGATATCGCTTGTTATGACTAGACATATCTTCGTTCATGTTCGCAATGAAGCGGTATATACGTACATTTTCCTATGCTGAACAATACTAATTCGAGAAAATACTTGTTTAATTCTAAAGCAGCTACTTTGGCATTATCATCTTGTTCGCTTCGTCTCCGTTGTCAACTCAGTGGCGTATTTACGAGGGGGGATGAAGGGGATATATCCCCCCCTCCCCCAGAAGAATTGAGTTATCATCATAGCTATTAGGTATTTAGGTAATACTCCGCTATCCGCTCCGCCCACTTTAAAATAAAGGCAATAATATATAGGTATATATAGAGAGCAATTTTGGTTTTGGTTAAAGTCTAAAGTCACTAAAATTTAAATAAGAATTTTAAATTTTAAAAACAGGAATTTTTTTGCCCATAACTTTTGATTGAGACGTCTAATCGAAAAAGTACGAATCGTTTTGGATTCTACGCACCCAAATTAATAAGAAAAAGTTTTTTCCCGAGAAATTTTGGTGCAGTCGATTTTTGGTAAAAAAGGAAGGTAATAACTGCCTTTTTTTTGCCCAGAAAAAAAATTGTCTCAGATCGACCGGAAAAAAATATTTTCTTATAGAATGTGGCCTGTAGAATCCATAATTTCAAACAGTTCCAAGATCGGACTACTAGATCAAAAGTTACAGCCCTTTGAATTTTTTGTCGAAATTGGTTTTTTGCCCATAAATATACCTATTATTCAAAGTTTTCGTTGACTAATTAAAGCAAAAGCAATAAAGGAGCCTGTCAGCAGTAAGAAATAAAATACCGTTCTAATCTAATCTTTTTCGCCTGTACAATAATAAATAGATCTACTGTACGCCACTGTGTCAACTCTAGTGGTTCCCAGCTCTTGGTCGTAAAGACCTATACATTTTTCAAAGTACTGTAGTGAGAAAGATAAATACATCAATTCTCACCTTCTGTCAAACTCAGATCTCCTAGATGATAGTGTTAGGACCCTATTTTACGTTGTATCTTCTAGATTCTAGAACTAGAAATACTAGCCCCTAGGAGCCCGTGTGACATCCTACGCCAACGTTTCAGCGAAATATAGAAATGCTAAATAGATATAATTAAAAAAATTGCATCGACCGGGAATCGAACTTGGGCCGCCCGCGTGGCAGCTACATCGATTAGGACGAACGGCGATGGCGACGACTGGCATCTTAATAGATATGAAATTTAGAGGTCGTCGTCTGCCGGTTCTTTAAAGTAGCACAGAGACAAGGTTAATAAGACATAAGAGTTAATTATTAAGTTTACTTCTTAATTAGCATTTTGGAAATAAACTATTGTTCATTTGCAATCCACACAAACGTAAATTGAATTATTGATCCTTATCCAGTCATAATTACGGTTGTAGTATTCGATTTACCTGATCAGTGTCAGATGTTAGTCATTGCTATACCGCAATATTTGTGTGCCGCGCTATTTACTATCCCTCTTGTTTGTTTGTGTTATCTGTTACAGATAAAGGCAGAAAGCGCCCTTCTGAGCTCAAAAGACCGTTACAAACAGAGTTTAAAAGTAATTTTTTGTATTTCTGATGAATTTCTTAATATCACGTTTGATTGGATACTAGTTTTCGATACAATCGAATAGTTATTACTAGTTTGTTGGTTGCGTTGGTGTTCTTAATGTTGTTTCCTTTAATGGGTCACCTTAACAATGATTTTTTTAAGTACAATATTGTAGTGTACTTAACCCCCAGGTTCTACGCTAACTTCACATTACAAGAACACGGAAATAAAGTCAACCCGATTCATTTATCGCGCATAGATTCTAAACTGAAGAGCTTTGATTAGCGTAATCCCGCTCCGGCAAGATAGGTAACCCGCCCCTGGTTTCAGGGTTTCGAGCCTACAGTTGAATGTCGAAGACAATCTCGGAATTAGGTGTCGTACTTTAAATGCTTCTTGGTTAGAAATCGGCATTTTAGAAAAGATTACAAATATAAAAAACTGCACTTTCTGAATGTAAACGCAGCAGAATAATTTACACATTACGGCTGTTATTATTTTATAATGTATCGTGTTTCATTTGTTTAATTTTCCAAGGCCTACCTAAAAGTGTAGGGTCCTTTTCCCAACAATCTTTCGCGCCATCGACAAATACCAGAAATACGTCAAATAAGATACAATTTAAGCATTTTTATTAATTAATGAATCTCATTTTCCCAATATTTGAGGTTAGCAACGATTTTGAAAAACGGTTTTCACTGGCTTCTTTAGGTGTTATTTGGCTACTTTTTCATAAAGAAAAATCCATATCATTCCATTTGTTTTTTTTTTGATTTTTGAGGATTTTAGATCATAGTGTCAAAACTAGCGGAGAGGATTCAACTATATTTTGGTTGATTCTTGTTGCCCAAGGAATGCTCTTTTCAACGATACCAAATTTCTTATAATCGGTTAAACGGTTAAGAAGTTAAAGCAGGTTATTGCAAAAACAATTGAACGCTCCACGCCATCTTGTTTTTGAAATAACTGAGTTTTTGTTTTTACGAAAATGATAGATAAACTGGTTCTCTTTAAAAATGAAAAAAGAATGTTTAATTTATTATGCGAAATTTAAAGAAAATGCAATTTTAAGATTTAAGATGGCAGGTTACGCCCTCTGTTGGTCATTTTTAGAACTTATTTTTCAGCGATTCTTCATGACCGATTTACCCAATAATTTTTTTTACCCCTAAGTCATATGACGAACGGCTCTCGAGATATGGCAGAGAAACAGTCTTATTGGGTCACCCGGTACTTTGTAGATCAGAAATAAAAAATGAAGCCGGGATACCCCTGGTATAATCAACCTTCCTTAAATATCTTTTTAAGTATTGATCCCAGCAAGAAAGCTTATAGAGCCTTTTGTATGGATAAAGTAGATTACTTAAATATAAGAACATTTTTTGCTATGGACCACAGTTTACGAGTTATTTTTGAAAAAATAGAAAAGGGATCTCCCCACAAGTAAGCTGTGCCTTCACTCAAATACTACAGTACTGGTTTTAGTTGACACTACTTGAATAATAAAAATCTGTTCACTCCGGCCCCAAGCTAGAGAAAGACCGCACCATTCCATTTCGATTGGTTCTCGATCGCCGGATCAACCGCGCCGCTCGGAGTTGTCGAGCTCACTAGTAACTAAGCTGTGTTAGTGAGATATTAAAATCCAGATTCGTATACTATAATGCTATATTTAAGTTCGTCGATTTATAAGTACCTATACAGTAAAAAAAAGTCTAGAATTAAGCAGTCTATGTACAAATAATACAGGATCAAGTCGAGTTCAGTTGCGTGCTCGTGGTCGTATGGTGCGATTCTGGTGAACGATGGACACGTTCTGCACCCTCATGTTCGGCGTCAGGAACTGCTGCAGGGTCGTTACGCCATCGCGCGGCGATCTATCGAACGGATATCCCATGGATCTTCGATCTGGATACAGGCGGTCGCGGATTCCGCAGTAGACGGCGGCGTCATTGCACGTGCCCTCGGTAGATTGGTTCACCTGAAGTCATCAATGATTGATACCGAGAGAGACATTGGGCAGAACTTACGCGATCGTCGGCAATGTTGGATATCATCACGAACAATTGGCAAGGGTACCCTTCCGGTGTGCCCTTGAACACGAGCAAGTGCTGGGGCCATCCGCAGCCGCAGAAGTTGAACTGCTCCAGGCCCGGGCCTCCGGTCGGGCGATTCGTGTCGACGTTCCGGAACGTTCGCTCGAAGGGTATGGTGACCGCCGAGGAAGTCGATGCTCGCGTGATTACGTTTTGGCCGGGCGTCACTGAAATGAAACTTATTGCTCAAACTGTTGCATAGAGGTAGAAATGGCACGTTTTAGTTATTTTCTAGGGGAATTTTCCTAGTGCCCAAGTGAGACTATTGCAGCCTTGGAATATGACGTGTCACAGTAATTTATTTAGAAAACGTGCCGCCATCTAGGTGTCATTTGTCAATTCAGGAGTCTATCTTAATTTATAAGTTCGTGACTAATTCCGACTTACAGTTGACGGCGAAGCGATCCATTTCCACCATCAAGTTCCGCTGGTCGACTAACAGCCAGGGGTTGCCTCTCTCGTCGAATTGAGGCCCGAGGAAAATGCGGCAGGTGCCTTGGCGAGCCGCGCCCGTGTTGTTCACGTTGATGACGTAGTTGAACGGCTGGTGCTGTAAGTGAGTGAATCGCACAAAGACGGGTCCGCGCGGTTGGAAGTCGAGGCCCCTGGACATGTCCACGTCGGATTGTTGCCAGAACGTCGAAAATTGGTTTTCGGGGGAGTTCTGACTTTGGAGCGAGATTTTGGTGACGGTCACGCCGTCGTAGCCGAGCTGCGCGACGGTGTAGCGGGGTAGCGTCGACTTGTACTCGACGAACATGTCGTTGACCATGGCGTGCATGCTGTAGAAGACGGGGTCGCGCATCGAGGTCGCCGGATCGCCGATTGCGCCGAAGGATTCCTAGAAAAAACGGTAAAGGACAAGGTTTCGGGCTGAAATCGATTACCAGGTGGCGGAGGTCGGGGTCGTGAATGACCGAGAGCGTCGCGTGCCCGAAGTTGTGCCAGTTTCCGTAGTAGGCGGGGTTGGCCGAGAGTATGGACGCCTCGACCAGGTTTCCCAAGATGTCGATGCCGCCAAACTCGGTGAGCGGTTGCATTCGGTTGTTGGTCTGTCGGAAGAGACATGAACTTTCGCGGAACTTCCTCCGAGTCACTTACGTCCCGATAGAAACCCGAGTGGATCGCCTCGTAGATTCGCGCAATTGCCGTCTCCATGTCTTTGATGTCGATCTTCCATTGGTCTTGCTCGCGGTTCACGTCTTGGAGGGTCATACCGGCCGGTCGGCCCGGGTACGAGCGGTTCGCGACCAGACTGTCCAGCTTGGGGAAGTAGGCTTCTGGAATGGGCTCGCGGAAGTTCACCAAGCGTCTGACTCTCTTCAATTTGTTGCACATTCGCTCCATGTTGTACCTAAACCATGCAAACGGTAAATCTCGCCCGACTTTGCTGGAAACTAACCTGGCCATCACCTGGTGATGGAAGTAGTAGAAGAGCTCCCCTCGTCGATCTTTGTTAACCACCTCCATTGGTCCACTGAACGGATATACCAAATGCCAATGCCAATGGTGAGCGTTGAGCCCCAAGTCTTCGGTCCAGTAGGCGACTCGGTGCTCATCTTCCAAGTTTGACGCGGTGTAATCCACTGGAATTTCAATCGGCGTCTAAAACTGACCGTGTATTTCAACCCCCGCAACCCGAAGACTTACGCGTGATCCCTCGGGAACGATATTAACTTCCTCTCTGGCCTTCGCAAAGACTTGACTATCCACGTACTTATCCGGGAACGTTTCGATCAGCGACGGTATGTCCATATCCCTCGTGTCCTTTCTGTGCAGAATCGCAACGCACATGCAATAGTTGAAGAGGTAAGGGTTGACGCGTTCCCTCGTGTACGCCGCCAGCGATTGGAACTCGTCCAGATTTTTGGCACCTGCAAACCACAAATGGCGAAAAGCGCAAACGAGCATTAGGCCGTACGCAAATAAAGGGTCGTCAGTTCGGTCGCGATCTTGTTGTGCTTCGGGAGGAAGAGGGTGAAATTTTCGTCTCGTTTCAACTGGAGTACGTTCGTCAGGTTCGGCGGTTTGATATCGTTGATGGTCACCTGCTCCCCCGCGTCCGCCGAGAAGCGATCTTGAAGGTCAACGCCGATGCTTTGGTACCGATTCCGCTAAACCCCATCACAATTACCCACAAGAAGAACCGTGCCAACTTACCAAAAAATGTTGCGGCACATTGAAAACGGTATTCTTCTCACCCTTCTTCGTGAAGATGGGCTCCTTGGGATGAAAGAGCATGAGAATGAGATGATTCTTATCCACGTTCGACATCTTCGACGCTTCTTCGGCTGACTGAACTACCTCCCAGCACTTCGGCCGGCGTTTATATATAAAAAGTGAACGCGAAAACACGGGGAGGATGTGGAGTTGGATTAGACCGCAACGTTCATCTTATCGCATTGTGTCTTTATTCAGATAAAAAAAAATGTGGTCAAAAGCATTGATCTAGCGACGATCTTGATGTTGAAAATCGGAAATGTCGCCTTTCGTCGCGGTGCGGAACGGTCAAGATTGTCGGTCTTGGTGGCGGGGGCGGTGGAGAGAACTCGACTATGCTGTTATTGGAAAGGTACGGGTAATGGCGTCTCTGGGCTCGTTTGTGGGTGTCTTTCGGAAGCAGCAAAATGGTCGTGAAGATCTCGCCTTAAAAACAATTTATTCCGCGCTTGTTTTTCTCGAGGAAAGCGTTTACTTACCGGCGGCGTGAGGCATTTTTGACAAATCCAAAGGGTCGACAGGCTAAAGGTTACTTTGATCTAAGTGATCAATCAACACGCGCCGTTTTGTCCTACATCCACTTTTTCTCCGACGAACCCGCATTCGTCCCATAACGACTAAAGGAACGAAGGCTCATGTCTCGAGAGTAACTCCAATCACCTTTTAGGGGTTCAGGGTCGAAGAAACGGACGAATCGGAGAAGACTTGAGGACCTGATAGATCCGGAAAGACGAAAGAATTTGAAAAATCGGAAGAATCTGAAGGACTCTACAGATTTGAAGAATCCGAAGCACGTAGCAAGTAAAACAATTGAAATAATTCGAAGAAACAGGGAAACTCAAAAAATCTCAAGATATCGAAGGAAGACTCTGAATTATTTGAAGAAACGGTAGAATCCAAAGAATCTTGAATTTCTAAAGGATTCGAAAACATGAAGAATCTTAAGAATTCGATGGATATGAAGAAATTGAATAATCTGAGAAATCGGAAGGATTCAAAGAAACGAAAAAGTTACCGGGCTCTTAACAAGCTGAAGTATCCGAAAAAGCCGCGGAGAAGAATAGAAAGAATTCAGAGAAATCGCGGAACGCATAAATATTAAGATTTTGAAGAATTAGAAGAATCTGAAGAAATTAAACAATCCGAAGATTAAACAAGTATAAATTGTACAGAACTCTTGTGCAGATGAACCGAAATAGCTTTTGTTTGGACATCACCAATGGATATATTTCTTGCAGACGTCTCAATCGCCCTTTGTGAGTACCCCCTTCCGACAATCCGTTCTTGAGGTATAAGGGAATATACCCGATCACGATAAGAAGTCGAGGAAGAGGGCTATGTTTGGTAGAATTCCTTTCGTAGAGACCTCTTTCATTAGAGTACCATGAAGGATAGAACTAGTTCCACTCCCCCGCTCCCCCCTTTTCCCCTCCACCACGTACTTTGATAACAGGACAGAAAGAAGGGCAGTAGTTGGTAGAAAACGGTTCCTTTCGTTGAGACCTTTAATTTGAATACAATGAGAGATAACATTAATTCCCCCCCCCCCCCCCCCCCAGGCTCCGTCGCTCACTAATCTCGAAAGAGTCGCACAGGAAAGTTATAGTTTGTACAAACCAATTTATTTCGATGAGGCCTTTCATTGGAGTACTACGAAGGATAGAACATGTGTTTACCCCCCCCCCCCATTTTCTAAAGTTAAACTTGGCACCACTAAAGGCATGCCTATGCAAACTTTGAGACCCATTGGTTGTCGTTTGTAAAAGCATTGAATTTATAACTAATCTTATAAATTCAATGGTAAAAGTTATGCACGTTTTACTTTCAAAAACAGCACCTCAGGAAATAAATCGAGGGGGGGGGGTCCCGTTTTAGACAGCGAAATTTAATGGCCGTCTGGTACACCTTCAAGGTATAGGCTACCTACTGCAAAAAATTCCAGGACTCTAGAAGTGGTTCACAACGGTAGAAGTGGGTCCGGACGGACGGACGGACAAAACACAAACAATAGCACATTTTTTTAATTCTTAAAAAATGCGCTAAAAACCGTAGAATTGGTGAAGTCTCGATAATCTAAGGGATCCGAAGCATTAGAAATAAATTCTAATAATTCGAAGAAACAGATGAATTCAACAAATCGCATTGTATTGAAAAATGTTTAAAAATCGAAGAATTTAAATAATTTGAAGAAATCGAAGAATCCTACGAAATGGAAGAATCCAAAGAATGTTGAGAATTGATCGGTTTGAAGAAAAAGAAGAATCAGAAATTTCGAGCATCTGTAGGATCCGGTAGATTTAAAGAAAATCACTGTGAAAAAGTTCATTGAATTTTATGAAATGTGAAAAAAAGAACCTGAAGAATGGAAGGAAAACGAAGAAACCTAACAATTTGATTGGTCCGAAAAATTTGAAGAAGATCTGAATAATCTCAAAAACCCAAGGAGAGGAATAGAACGAATTAAAAGGAAACCAAGAAATCCAAAAAATAATTGGATAACCTGAAGATATTCGGGAGTCTGGAAAATTGGAAGTATCGACACGATTATAAGGACACATCAGGCGAATCAAACAATCTGAAGCATTTAAAAACCCGAAAATATTGAAAATTGCAAAAATTCTGAAGAGATTAAAGAATCTGAAGGGTCTGAAGAATCTCAAGAATTCGAGAAAACGACGAATTTTTAGAACTTAATGGATCTGAAAGATGTAAAGAGTCGGAACAATTCGAAAAAGGAAAATCTTAAAATTCGATGCATCTAAAAAAAGTTGAAGAATCTGACAATCTATCTGCGTTTGTTTTTGAGATATATAGATTTTTACGTAGGCGTAGTCAAAAAGAAATTTGGACAACCTTTTCTGAGAAGTTGGTATTTTTTAAATGCCACACCCTGTATATCTTCACGTCATTTTTTTGTATTCTTTTTACTGAACCAGAAATAAAAAAGGGTTTTAACGGTAGTAGGCCATATGGATCCATGGAGATTTTGTTTTGTATCCATGGTAACTAAAGCAGCCCACCAATCAATAAAAATGGCTGGCAATCATTTCAAAAATTTGAAAAATATGGGATAATGTAGAATTTGGTATATAAAAATATATAGGTTGTGATACATCAATGCAATCAAGGAAAAAAAGACAAAAAATTGACGTAAGATATACAGTGTGTTCTATTTAAAACATATCGACCTTGCGTCATCTCGGAAAAAGTGTTCCAAATTTTTTTTAGATCTGTGGATTTTACGTGAAAATATCTAAAGTTTTTACCTTTTTTCTATCTTACGTGGGTAGTAACTTAGATCATACATATATATGATCTAAGGGTAGTAAGATAACATCCAGCCTTCTCATTAATAAGCCGTGCGACTGCCAGCATGGTCTAAGCTGCCAGCTCTAAATCGTAGGTTGTATATACAGGGTGGGACCTCTCAGCGTTGCCACTCGTATGGCAATTCACGAAAGTTGTAAAGGGAGTGGGGGGTATCAGTATGCAATACCCGAATACCCCCGAGTATATTCGAAGATTCTTTTTATTTTTAAAAACAGCTGAAATACACTGCAGTCTCAACCAAAATAAGACACACGGTACTTGGAGTGAATACGAAGAAACCAAAAAAATCTCTTGAACTTGAGTTTCAAAATTGCGAAGGGTCGCAAGAATTTAAGGAAACTGAAGAGTGATTAGAATACCATGGATCTGAAAAAAAACAAAGAAATCAACGACTGGTTCAAGTACGCTGGCGGTCCCATTGCTTGATCCAGCAAATTGCAGAAATGAAGAATGAGACTGTTACCGGCTTTATGGACTATAAATCCGGAGGTCGGGTGTTCGAACCTGGGTTGAGGTGAATTTTTCATCTGTGGCAGAGATGGGAATTACCTTAGACCAGTTTCGAGCATTCTGCAGGCGGCTACTCCGAATTAGGTTTTCCTGCAGTTTTTCTAATTCGTAAGGTAAATAGCGGAGTAGTACCTATAGAACAACTTAAGCCCTTCTGCAGAGGCACCTCTAAAAAGCATTATGCGGGTCACTCTGTAATTGGGAGCAAGCCTGTTGAGGGCCTAGAGCAAGAGAGAGGAATAATAAATAAATCAGTTTGGCTATAGGGGAAATTATCTGGATCACATGGATTCTCGATGAAATGGACTACAAACGTACCCCTGTGTTGAACGGGAATAATCAAAGCGCCATTAATGAGAATTTTTTTTAAGATATTGCGGGAATCTGGAGCTGATAGGTACTGAATTTTGCAACTTTTGGAAATTAGCTCTTGACGAAAATGTGAAATGTGTTCTTTTATTAATTTTTGTTTTCTTTACATTCCTCCACTCTGTATACAGATTTCAACTACAAAAGTATCAACGAAAATTACCCCCTGTCATAACAAAATCCAAAAAATGATAAATATTCGTTCAGATTATTTTTTTCTGGTTATGGCGCTGCGTTAAAAATGTTTAAGCAAATAATAAATTGTAAGTGCGTATGTGCTTGCCATTGAATTTAAATTCAATGGTGCTTGCATTGTATATACAATGGTGCTTGCTTTATGTTGTTGTTTCATAGCATTGTATGATAGTATTTGTTTCATTCTGAAACACCCTGTACGATTATAAATTTGTTTTGACAAAAACTAGGAACATTTAATTTTCTCACCAGATCAGTTTGGCACACTTACTTTTGGCAGTTGTCTACGTGTGTGGGTATTATGTGTACTTATTAAAAATTCCGGCTATTTGAGTAAATAAGACGTTTCTAATTACTAATTTATTGTCTTTCTATGTTTTACAATTAGGTGTAGTTTATAAACAATGAACTTATTAGTGAAAATTATATTGTTTACGTTAATTGCGGGGGCGTTGACTGATGAACACGATCACATTGTACGTGCGATCTCTGTTGTTAACGTCTTCATCGCCTCATTCTTGTGATTTGCAGTACGGCGACAACGAGGAGGTAGTCCTATGGATGAACACAGTGGGACCGTATCACAATCGGCAGGAGACCTATCGGTATTTCTCGCTGCCGTTCTGTGTCGGATCGAAGGAGGCGATATCTCATTACCACGAAACGCTCAGCGAGGCGCTGCAGGGCGTCGAATTGGAATTTAGCGGGCTCGATATCGAATTTAAAGGTGAGCCAGTTGAGCCGTCACATTTTGTTTACTTTGCGTTGTAGCCGACGTTCAAAAGACTGAGTACTGCGGTACGTTGTTAAACGATGAAAAGTACAAGGCGTTCGTTTACGCCGTTAAAAATCACTACTGGTACCAGATGTACATCGACGACCTGCCGATTTGGGGAATAGTCGGTGAAGTGACCGACTCCAATTATTATATATGGACGCATAAGAAGTTCGAAATCGGTTATAATGGCAAACAAATCGTCGACGTTAACATTACGGCGCAAGACAAGGTGCTGTTGAAGCCTACCGTTAAGCTCAGCTTTACGTATGAGGTCATTTGGAAGAAGTCGAACATTAAGTTTGAAAATCGGTTCGATAAGTATTTGGATCCGAATTTTTTCCAGCACAGAGTGAGTTTTATGTTCTTTAAAAGTGAGGTTAATGTTATGAGCTAACTTGGATCTTCAATTCACTTCGATTGGGCTTGTTTCTAACGATATAACCTCACTTCTATCTTTTGTTTATCGCTTCCTACGGCCTACTTTTAGATTCACTGGTTCAGCATCTTTAACAGTTTTATGATGGTGATATTCCTCGTCGGTTTGGTATCGATGATACTGATGCGCACACTTCGTAAGGACTACGCTCGTTACAGCAAGGACGAGGACATGGACGACATGGTTAGGACCGTGCTCGTTGTTTTCGTTAACTGTGTCTTGTTTTTAAGGAACGCGATTTGGGCGACGAGTACGGCTGGAAGCAGGTGCACGGCGACGTATTCCGACCGGCTTCGCATTCCTTACTTTTTTCCGCACTTATCGGTGCCGGCCATCAGCTGACGACCGTCGTTTTCTGCGTTATAATTTTCGCAATTTTAGGCGATCTGTATACGGAGTAAGTCATCCGATTATCGCACTCACTTGCAGCTAAACGAGTTTGTAGGCGTGGTTCGATGCTGTCCACTTCGATTTTTGTGTATGCGGCCACGTCGCCGGTTAACGGCTACTTCGGCGGCTCGCTGTACGCGCGCATGGGCGGCAAGGTTTGGATACGGCAGATGCTCGTCTCCGCCTTTATGCTGCCCGCGTTAATCTGCGGCACAGCGTTCTGCATCAATTTCATCGCCATCTATTACCACGCCTCGCGTGCGATTCCGTTCGGCACGATGGTCGCGGTTACGTGCATTTGTTTGTTCGTAATTTTGCCGCTGACGCTCGTAGGTACGGTGCTGGGTCGAAACTTGGCCGGTCAGCCCGACTATCCGTGCCGGATTAATGCGGTCCCTAGACCTATACCCGAGAAGAAGTGGTTCATGGAGCCGGGGGTCATTATACTTCTGGGCGGTGTGTTACCGTTCGCTAGCATATTCATTGAGATGTAAGTATGTAATATAGGAAAGGGAATACAGGTAAGCAAGTTCGACAAACAGGTAGCGAAGCCATTGGCACATTTGTTTTTGACACCCCAAAAAAAAACAAAAAAGTAACTATAATACCAGACTTTGAATTCTGAATTTTTATGTGGAAGGCTAAATTTAAGTTTCATAATTCGCCTGTAGATGGCGGGTTCTTATTTGAACCAGGGCAGTAGTACCTCGAAGTAGCTTTCATTGTGCAGGTGTTAACAGAAGGTAAAAAATCCGCGATGCTAGATAGACGCTACAGGGTAAATATAATTGTTAATTCACTAACAGCTAGATATATATACCCTTAACCTGCGGAAGTTTGGCCCCTTATCTCCTTTTAAAACCTGAAATTCAAAATCAAATGCTTTGGTATACATGTGACTTTAGGCGATTGAAATACATTAAGGCGATCAATTTCCATTTCATTCCATTGGTTTGATTCATAAACAGAAATACAGAAATGCAATGCCTATCTCGGGATCACGTGTCCATGCCAAATTTAAACCTTCTCTGAACTGTCATTGATCGCTGAAATTAAATACAACATTTCCAATCAAGGGAGCCAATTAACCCAAATCCTTTGTTTGGATCCGCTTCTTAACAATAAATACAATACCAAAATCTGTTTCATGCAAGGAATTCTCACGGGTCGATTCCTTTGGGAATATTAAAATTACTCCAAACAAATTTAATATGCCTAACAATAACCGACCACTACTTTCTTCAAATCAGATTATTGACAGATCTCTTCTAGTAACATGGGGGGGGGGGGGCTGCTTGTAACCATCACGGTACTCTAATGAAAGATTTCAACGAACGGAATCAATTTCAACCAACCATAGTCCTTCTTAGCCCGATTCCTTATATTTTAAGAGCGGATTATCAGAGGTGGATATTCACAAAGGGCGATTGGGACGTCTGGATTCGCATTGGCGATTTCAAAACTGTCTGGATGAGACATATTTATTGCTGAAGTCGAAGCGAATCTTGAAAACGAAATGTCGGAAGACGGCACTCATAGGGGACGAGTATTTTACTACCTTATAACCCACCCATTTACTAAGCGCTTGTTTACACCGGTATTTGTGCGTGGTCGCTCATGAAGTAAACGAAACCCTTCCGTTTTTTACTTGAAATAAACCAAATTGGTGCGTGCTCGCTCTCGAAAATCAGCTTGCACCATCGCTCTACCACTTCTCTCGCTATTTGAATGTCGCCCGCTAGAAAAACTGAAACGGGCCTTCTTTCCGACTTCGACTGGCGCGCCCTAGCAACCAATAGAACACGGTTTTTTACCTGTTCCCGTTTTCATGGGAATTTCGGGAAGCGCTTTACTAACTCGGAAACTTGCGCGAGCATCACAATCGGATGAACGGCTTGGACTGACAGATAGACAAACATTTATTTTTATTTACATAGATATCAGATCCCATTAACGTTTTATCCCCCATCCCGGCCAACCTCGTAGATATGGGCACATTGACATTTCCATATATGTAATGCCATTACAGTGTGCACATTTTAAATATTTGAAAGTATTGTGAGTTAACATATGCCTACTTTGTTTTATAAGTAGTTCGTTGTATAATCGCACTGCGCACATTTTAAATCCATTGAAGACTTGTGTCGTTTCAGAACATGTTGAAGATTTGTTGCAAGATTGCAATGTGCACATTTTAAATCGTTTGAAGTATTGGGCATTTTTAAGCGGTAAGGCTTTATTGGTCATTATTACACACTAGGTATGTGATTTACAGTTAAACGAAATCGCGAATAACCTGTACCTATCACTCTTTAATCAGGCGGTTGGTAAGGTTGAAAACATTTGATTTGACGGGTATTATCATTAGCTCTCTTTTATAATAATTTTCTTTCGCGACGCGTAGCGGAGTGCCTTATAGAATTTTTTATTATACCTGCAATATCATTTAAAAATAAAGGAAATAAAATCAAATCATATTGACGTTATAATCGAATATACGTCTAATTAAGTGGGCTGTCCGTAACTCCCATGATTGCCATGAAAATGTCACTTGACGTATGCTTATAAACATCACTGTCTTTGTAAATAAAATTACTTCAGTTGGAAAAGGTAATACACCGTCCATTCAATGGCTTGTTGCAACAGCAGAAGAAAACTTGGCAGATGCAAAATCCAAATTGGAGTCAGCTAAATTGCCTATTTTGCCGAAAATTGATCTTACCACCCAAACTACGTTAGTAAGGGATGTATTTTATTGAATAAAAAACCCCCCCCCCCCCCACTTTTTTCACGGAAATACACGTTTTGAAGCAGACAGGGATCCGAATCAAACAAAATCTGGATGATGTTATCATTAGTTCTCTTTTATAATATTGTCTTTCGCGACGCGTAGTGGAGTGCCTTATAGAATTTTTTATTATACTTGCAATATCATTTAAAAATAAAGGAAATAGAAATAAAATCATATTGACGTTATAATCGAATATACGTCTAATTAAGTGGGCTGTCCGTAACTCCCATGATTGCCATGAAATTGTGACTTGACGTTTACTTATAAAAATCACTGTCTTTGTAAATAAAATGACTTCAATGGCTTGTTGCAGCAGCAGAAGAAAAATTGGCACGTGCAACATCCAAATCCAGTACAGCCTATTATAAAGTTGTTCTCGTGGATTTTTAATTTCAATCCTAGATGACACTTTCATAAGTACCTAACATTACTTTTTTGAGTGTTTAAAACAGAGATTACGAATCGGAAATACTTTTCAGGTATTTCATCTTCACATCCTTCTGGGCCTACAAGATCTACTACGTCTACGGCTTCATGCTCCTAGTCGCGCTGATACTGGTCATCGTCACAGTTTGCGTGACGATCGTGTGCACGTACTTCTTACTAAACGCCGAAGATTACCGCTGGCAGTGGACCTCGTTTCTGGCGGCCGCCTCGACCTCGGCCTACGTTTACGTCTATTCCATCTATTACTTCTTCTTCAAGACCAAGTACGCACTCGCTGACGTTGCGTCGATTAATAATCGTCTGTTGCAGGATGTACGGCCTCTTTCAGACGGCCTTCTACTTCGGCTACATGGCCCTGTTTAGCGGCGCTCTGGGAATCTTATGCGGAACGGTCGGCTTCATCGGCACAAGTATATTCGTTAGGAAAATCTACTCGACCGTCAAGATCGACTAACAAGACTTCACTAGTGATTGTAAATAACTTGTTGTTGTAACTTTATATGAGCGAATGCGTTGTCGTTTCTCTGATTTTAATAAAAACGCAATTTGTTAACTGCGTGATCCGTCACACTTCAATCTTGTACTTGGGTTGCAGGTTGTATTCGATGTCAAAGAGCATTCTCATGTAAATATTTGTGTACATAATACCTACTTTTTGTGCTCGATTTATCATTTTCTTTATAATGGAAATGTATTTTCCAATTGTGTAATTTATAATTTTTAGCGTTACGGATCAAATTTTTTTATTATAGAACTAGGTATAGATATACCAAACCCTAAATTAATTCAATTTAAGGAGAATGTAAATTAAGTTCATTAAATTGTTTTAAGAGAAACTATCTTTATCAATACAGGTCTAAGGAATGAACAATCTACAATAAAAGAAGATTAACAATCCGAGGAAGTAACTCCTAAATCTGACGTTAATTTAATACAACATTTGATATGGTAAAGAATGGCCATTCCAAGGAGATTTAAAAGCAACTCCAAACCTTTCCCCATTTGTGAAAATAACATTCTGAAGTCATTTAATCGGACCTCCAGTCCAGAAGGTATCTGAAGGTCCTGGATACGGTAAACCTTAGACTAAACTTGTATTTCGAGATGAATGCCGCCACAAAGAATTAAAGTCGCTAATCAGTGCAAATCTTAGACGAAAATTGACAAAGTTGGAACAAATTGAACTAAACTTACTGGATGCAGAAAGCAAAAGTGACGCTAAAACACAAAATGAACTGAAGAAACTCAAACCAGGCTAATTCAAGACACGTTACTATACATACTTCAAAGCGGAAAATCGACTAGAGTGCTTCAAAACGGTCTTAAAAAATTAAGTTGTATTTATAACTGGCTGATTTAGTGACATAAAATGTCGGTCCATCCAAGATGGTGCCCAACAAAATGGCGACCGATCCAAGATGGCGCCCAACAAAATGGCGGGATTAAAGACTAATAAAATGGCGACCGAATCAAGATGGCGGATTTTGTGTGTACTCCATGCCTTTGTTTTGAGTACCGTTATATGATTTGTTTGTTATACTGTACAGGTGACTATACCATTGGTTTTATTAAGTATTTATTCCTGTATTCACGAGGAGTTGATTATCAGTGCGATGTTGCTCTGTTCGATTGAATCGTAACTATTCCGTGAGAGAAGTAAAAGTACCTAATACAGTTTTATTGTTCGCTGTATCTGTTACTTTCTTATTCGTGGCGCGCTGCAGTTCTTGTGCGTTAACTATACGAAGGGGGGCTCTCTGTGGAGTACCTAGGTACCTAATACAGTTCGATCTTTCTCTGTATCTGTTGCCTACTCGTCTCGTGCGGATTGCAGTTCTTAGCATCTTAGCAATGCGAGTAGGGGCCCCCTCATTAACATTTGCTCTATTTAAAATATGTTCTGCTTGAACGATAATCGATTTTCACATGAATACTTGCTATTGGCATTCTCACATGTACTTTTCGTGTTGGAGTAGAGTAGAGTCACACTATTTACATGTTTACTATGTACCTGCAATTTATTTATTTTACGAGTTGTGTTATCTCAATTGATCGTACAGGTATTTTGATGTGTTTGTGTACTCAATTGATTTATTATGTTTTCCACTGCATTTATGATGTCTTGTATATTTTGTTTATTATGAACTTGTTTAATTGCATTTGATTTGATTATCTTTTTTTTTATCATACAATTTGAGATGTTTTATTTATGTGTATTTTCTTGTCCATTTTATTTGGTGTAGGTGATTTATTTCATGTATTTGTGTGGCCTATGCCGAGGTTTTTGTCCCGTAGAAGGTTTCCGTGGCATGGTCTTGTTGTGTGCGTAATATGTTTATTTGTTCTTGTCACATTTCTTACGCACAAAAGTTCTGTGTTTCTGTCTTTTATTTAATTCCTTTCCCGACTATGTCTCACGTCCCAACACATGTAAGAACTGATTACACAACGTAGGAGTTCATTCATGCCACTCATATGTAGCCGACTGCCATCCAAATTCAAAAGTGCCGCGAAACGTCTTTCCTTTTTACTTAAAAGGTAGGTGACTCTTTGTAGATTTTTTCTAGAGTTGCCAACGGTAAGTATAGGGTAAGTCAATATTTCAGCGTCCGCTTGATAAACCCCTAGGAACATTACACGGTATTGCAGACGATTCCGTACGAGTTCGACGACGTTCAGGATTGTAGCCTCGACCACCTTCCCATCAAAATAACTCTTCACACAAATCCGACCGTTACAATACCCCCCAGTACCAGGAAGATCACCAACTCGAAAAAAATGATCTCCGGCAATGTATCGCATCCGCATTCTGACTGACCTAGAGGAAAAAGTACATCACCAACCAAACAAGTCCCGGCCATAAGATGGCGAGCAAGCTCCCTCAGTATCTCAAGAGCGAAATCGGAGGGAAAAGAGCAACTCACTTGAGACAGGTCAACGCAAAGCAGTAAGCTGCCCTCAAAATTGCCATTCAGCACTAACAACGGGGCTTGGAACGAGCACGTTGACGAAACCATGACCCGATGCGGAAACGTGCATACCAAATTGGAGGTTAGTGACCCTATTTTTGGGTTGTCAAATTACATTCTCAAGGTTATCATCTGAGGTCACTGCCCTACTTTCCGAGGTCACCGCCAGGGGGCGAACCACAGCATTTTTTCCTTGGAAAACGGATTTTTGACCATCTGATCGCTCTTTGTGAGACGACATCATCAAAAGTTACGCGGTGCGAGCGCTTGAGGGTGAAGAACTTTCCCACCAACCGAATGTCGACGACGATTATTGTTTCTTGGTGTTGGTCTTGCTCCCTTTGAGTTGCCATGCTATAAGGAAAAACAAGATTTATCTAGAAGTTCACTTGAACTCGCATATTGCACTGCATTCAGGGAAGAGTATCAGCATTATTGCCAAACAATCAGCATTAAAACGCGTAGGCCGTAGAAAAACCTTGATTTCCGTGTTTCCAGATCTAGATCGTTAGTCTAATTGCTTCATTGTAAAGTGCAATAGGTACCCCATAATCACGTCGGCGGTGTGATAAGGTATCGCCATTTCCCTTTACGATTAAACCTCGAGGTACTTTGTTCCAAATCAGTTTGTTATTGAGATCGAACGCAGTCCTCAATTGTAACAGTGTTTGCTTAAAAAGTGCCCATGGAAAACAAAGATGAGGCCAATCAGGCGCATCCGCCACCGTACTCGGCGCCACCAGGTACCGAACAGCGTCAAATTCAAATTGGATCGTACCCGACCGCAAGCGGACCGCCGCCAATCCTGGAATACAATTATGTGTCACCGCCGCCGTTAAACGCCTACAACGCGCCCCAATTTGCACAACTGGTCACATCCGCATCATCCCCGCAAATACACCAACCCAACACCTCAACCCTACGACCGACACAAGGATACTATCAGCCATATACAAGGGCAGGTACAGTTGGACGATTCCTTCTTATAAAAAAGTATTATTTGCAGGTCAGATTGATAAGCCACAGGTATGCATGTATTGGATTCGTCATATTTGGAGTATTTAGTGTAGTTTTTCTAATCGTCTTTCTTATTGTATTTTTCACTATACTTTCTAGAATATAATTGATAATAGAGATTATGCCCGTTTCTAAACCTTACCCCACGTTCCCCTCGACAGAGACGTTTGACGGGCCATATGGAAGACATTGAAGAAGGTTTAACGCAGAAAAAGGGCCGAAATTTATGCGGGAGGAGCTACAGGGGGTCATTGTTAACAGCCCTAACCAGCAGTGAGAGGTTCCACCCTGTATATACAACTTACGACGATGCGCGCAATCTTGAGAGTTGGCAATCACGCAATTTTTAGGAGGGGAAAAGCTGTCTGCGCCATCTCGAGAGCACGAACCTTAGTTACGTCTGGCATTTTGTTGTAAATGGCGATGGCGGAAACATCGCTTCGTGAGTGTTTGTTGCATTGTATTTGTATGGGGTTAGCTTTTTTTATATTTCTATTGTTATATACAAATTTAAGTGGAATAAAAGTAATAATTTCAAACAGTTCCAAGATTGGGCTACTAGTTCAAAAGTTACAGCCCTTTGAATTTTCTTTCGAAATTGGTTTCTAGTCTATAACTTTTGATTGAGAAGTCTGATCGAAAAAGTACGAATTGTTTTGGATTCTACGCACCAAAATTAATAAGAAAAAGTGTTTTCCCGAGAAATTTTGGTGCAGTCGATTTTTGGTAAAACAGGAAGGTTATACACTGCCTTTTTTGAACCCCGAAATAAAAATTGTCTCAGATCGACCCGGAAAAAAAATTTTCTTATAGAATGTGGCCTGTAGAATCCATATTTTCAAACAGTTCCAAAATTGGGCTACTACATATCAAGTTAAAAAGTTTTAAATGTGCCATTTGTGATTACGAGACAAATTATAAATTCAGCATTAAACGACACTTTTTAACGCATACTGATTCAAAAGATTTAAAATGTGCCCATTGTGATTACGAGACAAATAATAAACACTACTTTAAAGAACACGTTTTAAATCACACCGGTTCTAAAGATTTTAAATGCGATCGTTGTGATTATGGAACAAATAATAAACAAAATCTTAAAGTGCACCTTTTAAAACATATCGATTTTAAAGATTTTAAATGTGACCATTGTGTTTATCGAACAAATAATAAACGCTATTTTAAACGACACCTTTTGAAACATATCTTCAACAGGTTTTAAATGTGCTCATTGCGATTATGGAACAAATAATAAAGAACATCTTAAATCGCACCTAAAAAATATCAATTCTAAAGATTGTAAATGTTCTCATTGTGATTACCAAACAACTAATAAATACTGTTTTGGTTTTAAACGACACCTTTTAATTTAACCCATACTGATTCTAAACATTTTAAATGCGTTCATTGTGATTATGGAACAAATAGTAAACGGTACCTTAAACAACACCTTTTAATACATAAAGTTTCTAAAGATTTTAATTGTGTTCATTGCGATTATCCAACACATTACAAATCCTGTCAAGCTACACCTTTTAAAGCAGAAACTGTTTTTATAAGGAACGAATTTCTCGATAAGTTAAATATTAATTCTGTAGTGTGTGGTGAATTCATGGGATGGAGGTTTTTATCTCTTGCTCCAAGGTTTTAACGCATTAGATTTTTTATCTCTAAATTTTAGCCGGTTTTAGAAGGTATCAGACTTAGAAATAGACATTTGCCTAGTGTCTCGTGTCGATTTAAAGTAATTTTTTAAAGATAATGAAATAATACATTTTTTATTTACTAGTATTCAATTAACTTTTATCATACAACGGCTAATTACAAATGTTTTTTAGGTTGGTTATTTTAATATGCCCTCTTGAATTACAATAAACAATGGGAAACTTGGGAACAATAGGATACTTAAAATTCTTAATAAGTAACCGTATTGGTTGACGGTCTCCTTAAATGATGAGAGATACCTTTCTATAGCGCTGCCTACGACCAGGTATCTTCGATGTTTGTAGCTCTCACAGAAGGTAAAAACTGATGGCTCCATCCAGCATTAACAATAAAAGTGGAAATGTAACTCGTCTCCCCAAATCAACTGGACCTTGTAGTCCATCTTCGCCAGGTCAAAGATTCCGTTATGGTGTTTGCAGTAGACATTAAGGTTGTGTTATCGCCCGTCAGACTGGCGTTGATTAACTTTTTGTAGGTCACGCCGTATGGAATAAAAATGGAAAACAAAACCTATCGCTCCGCCACTGGAATTGAGACGCTATGGACCGGTACTTGAGCTACAGCCAAAGCCAACTGTACCTAAATCTATAAATAGGGTGTGCCTGCCTGCCTGGTAAGAAATTTGTGATTTTTAATAAACAAAGATCTGTCTTGATAACGTTATTCATACTAGATATGGACGGAAATGATGTGGCACCTCTTATTAAGATTGAACCAAAACAAGAAGAAGAAATCGATTCCCATCTCCAAGAAAACATTTTAGTAAGCAACCAAACATTGGGTGCAATAAAGGACGAAATTACTATTACTGCACAGTGCTCCAAATCGTTCAATAATGAAGTACAACAACAAGCTGATTGTGGTTGGAATATTAAAACACAAGTTTCGGATTTTCAACACACATCATATAGTAAGCTGCAACTTAAACAATATCTTTTAACACATGTTTCTGAAGGCTTTAACTGTGCTCATTGTGATTATGGAACAAAGAATAAACGACTGTTTCAAAGGCACATTTTCACACACAAATTTAATGCGCTACAATGTGCTAATTGTGATTACAAGACAAACAGCAAAGCCTACTTTGAACGACACCTTTTGAAACATAAGGATTTTGAATGTGGTAATTGTGATTACAAGACACATAGAAAATACCACTTAAAACGACACCTTTTAAAACATACTGATTCTAAAGATTTTCAATGTGCCAATTGTGATTACCAAACAAATGATAAATACTACTTTAAACAACACCTTTTAAATCATACTGATTCCAAAGACTTTAAATGTGTCAAGTGTGATTACAAGACACATAGGAAATACCAATTAAAACGACATCTTTTGAAACATATCGATTGTAAAGGTTTTAAATGTGCTTATTGTGATTACCAAACAAATGATAGACACTACCTTAAACAACACCTTTTAAATCATACCGATTATAAAGATTTTAAATGTACTAATTGTGATTACGAGACAAATTACAAAACCAACTTTAAACAACACCTTTTGAAACATACCGATTCTAAAGATTTTAAATGTGCTCATTGTGATTATGGGACAAATAATAAACGATATCTTAAACGACACGTTTTAAAACATATCGTTTCCAAAGATTTTAAATGTGCTAATTGTGATTACAAGACGAACAACAAATGCCGCTTAACAAGACACCTTTTAAAACATACCGATTCCAAAGATTTTAAATGTGCATATTGCGATTACGAAACAAATGATAAATACTACTTTAAGCAACACCTTTTAAATCATACTGATTCGAAAGATTTTAAATGTGCCCATTGCGATTGTCAAACAAATGATAAATACTACTTTAAACGCCACCTTTTAAAACATACCGATTCGAAAGACACTAAAGGTGCTAATTGTGATTATGAGACAAACAACAAATACTACCTGAAACAACGCCTTTTAACACATACTGTTTCTAAAGATTTTAAATGTGCTAATTGTGATTATCAAACGAATAAGAAATGGTACTTTAAACGGCACCTTTTAAATCATACCGATTCTAAAGACTTTAAATGTGCCAATTGTGATTATATGACAAATAACAAATACCACTTTAAACGACACCTTGTAACACATACCGATTCTAAAGATTTTAAATGTGCTGATTGTGATTTTGAAACAAATGATAAATACTATTTTAAACAACACCTTTTAAATCATACCGATTCTAAAGATTTTAAATGCGCCAATTGCGATTACAGGACAAATAACAAAAAATATTTAAGAAGACATCTTTTAAAACATATCATTTGTAAAGATTTTAAATGTGGTAATTGTGATTATCAAACGAGTGATAAATACTGCTTTAAACGTCACGTTTTAAACCACACCGAGTCTAAAGATTTTAAATGTGCTAGTTGTGATTACGAGACAAATAACAAATACCACTTCAAACGACATCTTTTAACACATACCGATTCTAAAGATCTTAAATGTGGTCATTGTGATTATCAGACGAATGACAACTACCACTTTAAACGACACCTTTTAACGCACACTGACTCCAAAGATTTTAAATGTGCTAATTGTGATTATGAGACAAATAACAAATACCACTTTAAACGACACGTTTTAACTCACACAAGGTTTTAACTTCCAACTAGTTAGAAGACATTAGAATTGGACTAGTTATTAGGAAATTCATGTTGCTTTAGTCATTTTTAAAAAATACTTCCCAAAATAATAAAGTTTTTCATTTATAAATATCGAATTTAGTTGTAATTTGCAAAAATGCTACCTACTCTCCTATCAAGTAATCTCACTCTCCTCCTGACGATGACATTCAAAACTAAATAGAACTCTCAAGGTTTAACGATGCGGTGATCTTCAAAATTTGCTCTCCGTTTAAAGTCCAAAGGTGGGTCTTCGTTTAAAGTTCAAAGGTTACTCGCAGTTTCAAGTCCAAAAGTTGGTCGCCGTTCTTTGTTCTACATTTGGTTAAGGGCGTGCGCGTCGAGATTGCGTCTGCGTACTATTGCAACTTCATTGGTAACCTTGAAAGTAAAATGTGACAATAAATGGTGTTTTGACCTTGAAAGAAATGCCCTTGACTTACTTTCCAAGGTCATCGCCATGTGGCACGTGACATTTGAACTTCACCGTAACCTACTTTCCAAGGCCACCGCGACCTTTAACTGAGCCCCCCCCCAATTTCGTTTTTGATTAATAAAATTGATCCCTCTGCCACTTCTGTGGGATTGAAACACGTCATCTTTGCTCACTGCACACAGAGGGTGGGTCACAGTAGTAAATTGATGCTGAAGGGGGAGGTGAAGTGTGTTAAACATTCCTTGCGACAGCATACTGGTATGAACATCCCTCTCCCCATTTTTGAGGAGGCTAAATACAATGGAATAGTTGGCGATTGTCGACCAAGAGGGGTAGGTGACTGATCTTATATACAGGAGGTGTGGATATGAATGTTCTTGAACAGTAAAAGAGTGCTAAGATTTGAATTACGATTTATTTTCGATGCGCATTTTCTTCTTCTCCAAGTATTCCTGGACATTGTCGTATTTCCGTTTGTACAAATTACAGAAAAGACTTTTGCTCTGGCTAACATGATCTTTTAACAGATGTTCGCATTTTTCGAAACACGCATCACTCACGTCAGTCTTCGTCAATTTATTAGGCGCGACGGTATAGTGCAAGAAACCACGCTCGGTTACAACGAGCAATCGTTCACCCAGATGAAAGGCAAGTAAGGAGGGCACGGTTAGAACATCCACTAACCGAACGTCCGACGCATTTTGCAAACGGTAAACTTGCACACTGTCACTTCCCAACAAACGAACGCCCAAATAAGCGGACTGCTCCGACTTGTAAACTTGCAAGTCGACAATCGGCAAGGCGGTAACATCCGCATTCTCTACACCCATTTCCTTACGAAACTCCGCCACCACGGCCTTATCCGGAAGATGGTCGTTGGTATTTACAACGTTCAACTGTCGACCATTGACAAAGTCCCAAAATCGAACGGTACCGTCGCCACCTGCCGATATTAAAATATCGCCGTACATCTTTAAGTGCGTCACGAACTCCTCGTGTCCCAAACAGTAGCTCGCTATATTATACGAATCGGGATAGTGCGACACGCGGATTTTCTCGTCGCGATCGCAAGTAATAACGTACCGACCGCACTCGCTTACGGCCACGTCCAGCAGCATGCTCAGGTGACCGAGGAGCAGTTCGGGTTGACGGTCGAGCTTGTAGACGAAAACGTCACCGGTCTTGTCGGCGATCAGCAAATCGTCGTCGTCGGTGAAGGTCAGCGCGCAGGCGGCTCGTTTGCACACGACGTTGGCTATCACGTTCAATTTTTCGTCGTAGATCACCAGCTGTTTGTTACACAAGGTCACCGCAATGAGACGGTTGTCTTTTGACGCACTTACAGCTGCAACGTTTCTGTCTTCGGACAGTTTTTCTCGGACATCTGTGGGTTGGTGTATTTGGAATTCCGTGTAGGTGGAGGTCGTGTAATTGTAATGGATTAACCAATCGCGAATGAAGATGTATAAATTGTCTTCATGTTTGTGTATAAGGATCATTTTAACGTTATAAAAAAGTTGGGTTAAGTTTCATTTTGTTTTGAGGTTACTTTTTTGTGGTCTGTTCACTATCACTCCGTCGTGATGGTGGTTCACCGATTTGTCGCTTTTTAAATTTGGAAATTGGATCTTCCTTTAAAGTCGCAACTCGCAATGCCAATAATTCTGCAACCTTCTAGCCATAGACATTACGTCTCTGCTTCTAGCGCTTTTTGCACCCTTTTACGCTCTTTCTAGTGGCTTATTATGCACATTCTAGGAGTGGTAGAATCCATTCGCGATTTAGATTAACACTAGAGGCGCTGGTGAAGTTTACAAATGGCGTGTGCTACGCTCACAATTACCATGCTTACGATCTAGCAAGAGCCATCACATTTTGAAGAGATTAATGGAAGAGAATCTGAGTTGCTCAGCCAAGACTTTCCATTTATCAGTTCCCCCATTCTCCTTTTGAGAAAACAAAGCCCTGAAAAAAGATGCAAACTTTTATTGTTTATTAACGTAAATATGACAATAAAGTCAGGAATGCGTGAAAAAGAAAGTTAATCGCTATAGAAGTATCAGCACTCCTTCACTGTCGTTCTGTGGTAGAAGTGTGGCGCCAGCTCGAGCAGCCATTGGTCCTTTATCACCAGTAGATCTCGCATGAATAGCTTCGTGGTGTGCATTACTTCACAAAATACGACCCTAAAAGATAACACTCAGTGTGAACGCGGCTCTATAATCACTTACCATTGAGGTTGCGCAATAGTATACAAAACACTGTCTGGATGAACGTGTAACTCGATATCGCCACGTACTGTCTTATACACGCCCGAGTAGTGCAGGTAGGCGGCGTTCGGGAATAATCCAACTACCAGGCATTTCGAGACGGTTTCCGTATCACCTGCAATTCGCTCATCAAAGTATCAGTCAATCAACCCCCCTCCTCCCGCTGAAAAATCGATTTTTAAAGGGGTCCAATTGCTCCACCAATTTTTGGAGGTTCAGATGGTGTTGCCACTTGTGTGAGAGAGAAAGAATAATCATCGATCCCTCTTTACGAGAGTACTTGGGGGGGGGGGGGATTGGAATACCCCCCAGTATCACAAAAGTCTTGAATGTTGAGTGCTTTTATGAGAAAAGATAATACGGGGGGGAGGGGGTCTGGATATCCCCCAAGTATAATCGAAAATTCTCAAAGGCAACCATAAGAGTGCGGGTGAGAGGTAAAATGGAAAGAATAATCATCGAGCCGAGGGTACTGCTTCAAAAGAAGAAGGGAGGAGGGAGGGGTAGAGAAGAAAGAGATAGAAAAGGGGAAGCGAGTGAATAAAAGAGAGTAAAAAAGGAAAAATGGAAGGGAGAGTAAGATACCGCGGTAAGGCGAAATAATGGAAGAACAGAAGTTGAGAGGAAAGAAGAAAGAGAAACAATTTTGCATTACCTTCGCACGAAATTAACGGCACACCATAATTCCTCATCATCTTCCCCAGCCGCTCGCGAATCTCCACCACCCTCTTCATCGACTTATAATTGACGTAGTTGCGGTGACAGAAATCGTTTCCGTAGCCGCTCTTCGCGAACGCGAGGAACACATTGAGGTAGGTGATCAGGTCGCCCTCGGCCACCTCGAAGTGCCGCTTCTGTATGCGCGCCTTCACCGAGGAGTTTCCCGTCGACGGTTTCGCGTAGATCGTCTCGACTTGAAGCATCGAAATTATCGTGAGTATCTCCTCGGAGCAGCCGAAGTCGCCTGAAGTTTCGAGATTACGTTTCGGTTTTCGGCCGCGTGGTTTTTACCTGAGGAAAGTAGAATCTTCGTGTAGAGGGGATCGACAGCGAACTCGGCCATGTTAAAGCCGAGCGGTTTCGTCAGCTCGCCGTCGATGTCGATCGCGTCGAGCGCGTATAAGAGTTCCAAAGCGCTCTTGATGTTTTCGATCGGTGGTGGATTCGGGAACTTGAATTTTAAAATATTGTCGATGCCTAGCGCCTTTAGCTGGAGTATGACGTACGTTAAGTTGCTGCGAATTATTTCGGGCGGCGTCACATCGGGAAGCTTCAAGTAGTCCTCTTCAGTGTATAACCTGTCAGTGTTTGGCGTAAGGTGTTGTTTGAGGTTGTTCGCGATTTCTTACCTGTAGCAGTGTCCAGGTTTGACTCGCCCCGCACGACCGGCTCGCTGTTGTGCGGATGCCTTACTTACCGGCATTATCATTAGACTGTCGGTGTGCGTTTGGCCGTTGAACCACTTCATCTTAACGAAACCGCAATCGATGACTAACAAAATCATCAATAAAACCTTGGAAACTTACTCTCTACATTTTTATCATGAGCTTATATTAAGTTAAAAGACGCATGTTGTAGAGGGGACAAGTAAAATTCAATGGTGTGCAGAAATACCTGAATTCTGAGCTCTCAGGCGTCCAATTTTGAATTGTTACAGCTATCTGTAGTGGTATTTAAAGAAAAATAAAATATGGTATCTTTTTAGGTTAAAAATCTACAGGATGTTCTAATTAAAATAATTATATATTATTATAAATTATTTTGACGGCTAAAACAAATGTCAAATCAGAAAGACAAGATCTATTGAATTTTTGAAAAATATACAGGGCGTTCCAATTTACCAAATTTGCATTTGCGGCATTTATTTGTTTTTTACCTTACATTTTCTGGCGATCTATGATAAACCCCATAACTTTCTATTTAGTTTTTTTCTATCTCTTATAATAAACACGCTGTCTAAATATACGGAATAACCCTGTACAGGTGGATTATTCCACGTTCGTTCAGTCTAAAGTAAGAAGAGATGTACCGGGTGACCCAATAAGACTTTTTCTCGGCCATATCTCGGGAACCGTTCGTCGTATGACAAAAAAATTATTGGGTAAATCGGTTATGAAGAATCGCTGGAAAATATTTTCAAGTTCTAAAAATGACCAACAGAGGGCGTAACTGCCATCTTAAATTTTACAATTGCATTTTCTTTAAATTTCGCATAATAAACTAAACATTCTTTTTTCACATTTTTAAAGAGAACCAGTTTATCTATCATTTTCGTAAAAACAAAAACTCAGTTATTTCAAAAACAAAGATGGCGTGGGGCGTTCAATTGTTTTTGCAATGACCTGCTTTAACTTCTTAACCGTTTGACCGATTGGAAAAATATTGGTATCGTTGAAAGAGCATTCTTTGGGCAACAAGAATCAATTAATAAAAATGCTTAAATTGTAATTTATTTGACGTATTTCCAGTATTTGTCGATGGCGCGAAAAATTGTTTGGAAAAGGACCCTACACTTTTAGGTAGGCCTTGGAAACTTAAACAAATGAAACACGATGCATTATAAAATAATAACAGCCGTAAGTTGTCAATTGTTCTGCTGCATTTACATTCAGAAAGTGCACTATTTTGTATTAGGAACCAGATTTTGAAAAACGGTTATCACTGGCCTCTTTGGATGTTAATTGGCTACTTTTTCATTAAGAAAAAGTCATATCATTCCATTTGATTTTTTTGATGTTTTTAGGATTTTGGGTTATATTTTAGTGTCAAAACTAGCCCTCTGGCGGAGAAGGATTCAACTACATTAATTATATTTTGGTTGATTCTCATTGCCCAAGGAATGCTCTTTTCAACGATACCAAATTTGTTACAATCTGGTTCTCTTTAAAAATGTAAAAAAAGAATGTTTAGTTTATTATGCGAAATTTAAAGAAAATCCAATTTTAAAATTTAAGATAGCAGTTACGCCCTCTGTTGGTCATTTTTAGAACTTGAAAATATTTTCCAGCGATTCTTCATGACCGATTTATCCAATAATTTTTTTACCCCGAAGTCATATGACGAACGGTTCTTGAGATATGGCCGAGGAACAGTCTTATTGGGTCATCCGGTACAAACTGCTGGTTAAATTGTGAAGCACTGTACAAGTTTCCCCTCAATTCATCGCATTTCCACCAGTGGAGACTTACGATGTTTTCTTACAAAAGTCAAGATCGCGTCTGTTGCTTCACAAAGAACCGAAAATTGAGTGAGTGGAAAGAGGAAGTGCGGCTGAGGAAGAAAGAAGCATAAGAGGAAGTGAGATGGACGAAACGGATTGGTGGCAACAATCGCGGTGTATGCAGAAGTTGGGACCAAGGACACAATACTTACCATGTACAATGTTGGGAATCGTAACCGAAGTTTCAGCCACATTCGTCGCGATTATAACCTTCCTAAACCCGTCGGGTGCCCTCTTGAAGACGTTCATCTGCTCGTGGTAAGGAAGCGAGCCGTACATTGGATAAACCACGAACTTCTCCTTCTTCCCCGCCGCCTCGATCGTATTCGCGTGCTCTCTAAGTAACCTAACCGTCCGATCGACCTCCTCCTGCCCGGTGAGAAAGGCGAGCACATCTCCGGCCTGCTTCGAGGAGTTTATCTTTAGGACTATGTCGACCGTGCCCTGAACGTAACACGGAATCGGCTCTGAAAGCGGCAACGTTCAACGATTGCACCCTACGAACGCGCCCTACCTTTCACGAAGTAGGTCGTCACGGGAAACTGTCGCCCGTGCACGCTGAGGATTACGGCGGAGTCCCTCTTGCGGTCGCCGGACGTGTTATTGAAGTACGCCTGCAATTCTTTGGCGTCCATCGTCGCCGACGCGACTATTAATCGTAACTCTCGGCGTCTCTGCAATATCGGCGTTAATCACTGGGACGAAGCGTCCAACGTTTACCTTGAGTATTTTCTTCATGAGGCCCATCAAGATATCGGTGTAGAGGGTACGCTCGTGGATCTCATCGAGCATGATCACCGAGTAATCTTTGAGCAGCGGATCGCTCATCATCTCCCTTATCAGTATGCCCTCGGTCATGTACTACAAGGCACGATTTGAGGTCAGGTCACAGTGTTGTCCAAAGCAAAGTTATAGATGTAGTCTACCACACTTCCGCTAGAGGCGCCTTTTGAATGTTTCAGATAAAGTCACTAAATATAGAAAGTACCGCAATCCATTGGGCTCGTGTGTTAGAGAGAGAACGCATGATTTTTGCCCAAAAATGGCGGAAGTTACCAGATTCTAGTAACTTTAATGTTAGGGATTGTTCCAACTGTTTGGAGATATATTTTTATAAAACATGACAGTGCTATGAAGTTAGGTTATAAAAAATGACAGCTATTCAGATTTTATTTGTCAATTTTTTTAAGTTGGCAGCAAATTTGCCCAAAAATGGCGGATGATTGCGGTACTTTCTATATCTAGTGACTTTAGTTTCAGAAAGACTCTACAATTTATTTTTTCGAATCTATTTCGGTTTTCCCAGCCTTCTGAAGTAAATGCGCGCGATCGAGATTTTGGTAAGAAAACTCGCTAGTGGAAGTGTGATAGACAGGGACGATTTCTTCTCGTCTCTCTTACATCGAATCAACCAACACTTTACATCCACAGCTCTTACTATTTTATACCGCGATTCGGACACATACCTTAATCTTGGGTTTGTTTGTGCAGGCGTCGAAACGAACTGCGTAGCCCACCGTCTCGCTCTGCACCAGGCTTCCGGTCTCGTCGGCGACTCTGCCCGCGAGCGACAGCGCCGCCACCCTGCGAGGTTCGCATATACCGATCTGGGCGGGCCATTGCGCCTCGATTAGATACTAAGAACGCACACGTCGTATAAAAACAATTCGTTTACGAATCGAAATGGTTTATTAGCTCAAAAATAACACTCGTTTTAGTAAAACAAATTTACAACACTCAGATAAGAACATACTTTATGCACATTTATTAAAAATAAATTCGTTCCTTCTCCGATATAACACTCCATTCTCGGTACTTTTCGCTATACGCTAACTTAACAGTACGATAAATACATTAACAGTTCAACAAAGCAATTAAATATAAACTGCGTTAAATACATCAACAACAAAATCGTATTTAAGGCCTGAATTACAGCCGACTCCCGGGCCATTTTAGTTTACATTCGTTTATTAATACGGAAATCTGTGCAATATCACGGAGTTGTACCATGAAAGCGTCAAACAGACAAAGTTTTCGATGTTAAAAAAGAGCATTATCAAGGGACTAGTGCCGGAACCATCAGAATCGATGATGATGACACACCCTGTATATATATTTCTTCTTTATTTTATGTAACCTAACTTGAATTACTACTAATTAGATGAAAAGTATTATATTTTTGTGTACTCTGTATATAATGGAAAATTGGTAAAGGTCCCATACTTTGTATATACCGCATCAATTCAAAATTCCTGACCCAACACGAGTCTGTTAGCCCCCCCCTCCCCCTCCCCCTCGAACATGACCAAGTGTGGAAATTCCTCCCACCCCACCCCGCTGAAACCCCCGCACTACTTTGAAGAGAAAAGTACATTTGAAATAACTCATATATACAGAGCGACCAAAAAACAAGTAAATATTTCAAAATCGTGCAATAGCAATATCCATAAACAGCATCACTTAAAAATTCCTGATCTAATGGTACTTTACATGAGACAATGCCCCCCCCCCTCCCCCCTTCAACACGAGCGGAGATTCCGTCCACTCCACTGTACTTCACCATCACACTGCACTACTTTGAACAGAAAAGTACAATTGAAATATCTCGTATATACAGAGTGACCAAAAAACACAAGTCAATATATATCAAAATCGTGCAATGGCAATATACATATACTTCATCACTTAAAGATTCCTGATACAATGATACCTACATACATGAGACAGCACCCCTCCCCCCCCTCTCGCACTACTTTGAAAAGAAAAGTACAATTGAAATAACTCATATACACAGAGTGGCCAAAAAAAACAAGTCAATGTATAAAAATTGTGCAATAGCAATATCCATATACTGCATCACTTCAAAATTCCTGATGTAATGGTACCTTACATGAGACAGTACCCCCCTCCCCCCTTCTCCTGCCCCTTCAACACGAGCGGAAATTACTTCCACTCCACTGTACTCCACCATCACACTGCACTACTTTGAAGAGAAAAGTACAATTGAAATAACTCATATACACAGAGTGGCCAAAAAACAAGTAAATATTTCAAAATCATGCAATAGCAATATCCATATACAGCATCACTTAAAAATTCCTGATCCAATGCTTATATATACAGAGTGGTCAAAAACAAATAAATATTTCAAAATCGTGCAATAGAAATATCCATATACAGCATCACTTGAAAATTCCTGATACAATGATACTTTACATGAGACAATGCCCCCCCCCCCCCTCCAACACGAGCGGAGATTCCGTCCACTACACTGTACTTCACCATCACACTGCACTACTTTGAAGAGAAAAGAACAATTGAAATAACTCATATATACAGAGTGGCCAAAAAACAAGTAAATATTTTAAAATCGTGCAATAGCAATATCCATAGACAGCATCACTTAAAAATTCCACGTTACACGATCGTATATTACAATCCCTCTTACCACACCGCAAGTAGACAACAACAAAAAATATACCCCCTTCCCCCCTCCTCCGCAAATAACATGAGCCGTATTGGCAGTAAAGAACCCTTGCGGCTAATACCTTCAAGACCAAAGAGTGAGTGTGTTAACATTCAAGTTGATCGAATACGTTTCAAGAAACTTTTGGTTCAGAACACGGGGAGACGGGGGGGGGGGGGTGAAAATATATTGATTGAGTCGCACGAATTGATATACAGGGTACGTAAAAAAAACTTTCACTATTATTCCGAAAATCATCCAAGAATTTTCAGATGTGATTTCGTATTTTCCATGATATACAGTGTGTTCAAAGAAATAATGCGTACAAGATTATGTATGTACCGCATTTCGTTATATACAGGGTAGTATTAAAAGATACACAACAAAAATAGAAATATATTGTTTAAGCCGCACGAGTTGATATACAGGGTACGTAAAAAAACTTTCACTATTATTCCGAAAATCATCCAAGAATTTTCAGATGTGATTTCGTATTTTCCATGATATACAGTGTGTTCAAAGAAATAATGCGTACAAGATTATGTATGTACCGCATTTCGTTATATACAGGGTAGTATTAAAAGATACACAACAAAAATAGAAATATATTGTTTAAGCCGCACGAGTTGATATACAGGGTACGTAAAAAAACTTTCACTATTATTCCGAAAATCATCCAAGAATTTTCAGATGTGATTTCGTATTTTCCATGATATACAGTGTGTTCAAAGAAATAATGCGTACAAGATTATGTATGTACAGCAATTCGTTATATACAGGGTAGTATTAAAAGATACACAACAAAAATAGAAATATATTCTTTAAACCGCGCGAGTTGATATACAGGGTACGTAAAAAAGCTTTTACTATTATTCCGAAAAGCATCTAAGAATTTTCAGATGTGATTTCGTATTTTCCATGATATACAGTGTGTTCAAAGAAATAATGCGTACAGGATTATGTATGTACAGCTTTTCGTTATATACAGGGTAGTATTAAACGATACACAACAAAAATAGAAATATATTCTTTAAACCGCGCGAGTTGATATACAGGGTACGTAAAAATTTGTTTGCTATTATTCCAAAAATCATTTATGAATTTTCAGATATGATTACATATTTTCGATGATACACTGCGTGTTCAAAGAATCAAGTGACACAATGCATATACAGTACAATATTTTTCGTTACAGGGTGATATCAAAAGGTATACCTCGAAAATGGAAACATGTTGATTGAGTCACACCAGTTGATATACAGGGTGCGTACAAAAACCTTGTATTATTCCGGAAATTGTCCAAGATTTTGTATTTTCCATTATATGTGTTCAAAGAAACAAGATTATGTATATACAGCACGAAATTTTTCGTTATTAAAAGATACACAACAATATTGATCGAGTCGAACAAGTTGCTACACAGGGTACACAACAACTGTTGCATACATCGAGTACACAGCATATCTGAATAAATATACAGGGTACATCAAAAACTTTCCTATGAATTTAAAAATCATCAACCTTATGTTTTCAGAGCGTCATTTGGTACTACATACAGGGTGTTCCCCAATTGACTACGTACCGATATTTGGGAATACGTCGTTGCAGATGCAGCAGGGATAAAAAACTTTAGGTATACAGGGTACGTCAAAACAGGAGTATTTCAAACAAAATATTTTTCATATATACATGGTGATGGGTAAGTAGTGGTCCGAGTCGGAGTAAACTAACTTTGCCCGTTGTACGCTTTCACATTGAGAAACTTTGACTATAAGTACCACAGAACGTGTAGCTTACTCGTTAATTAAATACATCTCTAATAATTATTAATAATACGTAAAACACTTTCCTGAGTTACTCGATCGCGATCCGCCCCCGATACTAATAGTTCGTCGTGTTACTCGTCCGATCTTTAAATATGAAACTTTGTATGTCCGAGAGGTGCACCTCGCTGATGCATATGACGGAGAGGAGCACCACGAAACCGACGTAAACGAGACTCTGCAGGAACTCCCACAGTTTGTCGCAGAAGATCGCGAGCAGCATGAAGTGGAACATGTTGTGCACGTTTATGACGCGCCAAAGCCAGCTGACGCTCAGAAAGAACGAGCTCTTGAAGACGACGTTCTGGCGCGCGAACACGTCGCTCGGAACGTCGCTACGCTCCAGGTAGTCCTGATAAAGCGCGATGCATCGATTCCAGGCGAGCGAGTTGACGGCCAACTGTATCGAGAATAGGCAAATGACGCGTACGATCTTCTGCGTCGTTATCTTCGCCTTGTAGACTAGCGTGGTCTCCTTCGTGTCGGAGGGCGCGACCGTAGGCAAGGGGGAGTATCCGCGACGCGGCGGGTTGTTCTTCAGGAAAACGAAGCAACCGATTAATAGCGCGACGCAACCGATCGCGTCGCAGAGTCCGTCGATGTAGTACCCGGACGTGCCCGTCTCCGACCTCTCCCCCTTGATGTGCTTCCGCGCCCTCGCGACGTGCCCGTCCATGTCGTCCAGGAACGTCCGGAATTCGAAGAGGACGACCGCCACCCTCCGGTACGCGAGATTGTCGCTCGACACGCACTTGGCGCTCAGCACCGCGACGAATATGTGAAAGAAACTGATCATGTTCGGCGTTATCCAGCCCGACTCCGAAATTCTGAGCGCCTTATCGACGATCGTCGCGAGCGGCGAGAACAGATAGTAATTAATGTGGTCGAGGAGGAGCGCCTTGGCGGTGACGCCGCAAAGCGGCGAGATATCGCAACCGATCCACGTCGCCTTACTGTAACTCGATGTATGATTCTCGCTCATGTCCCGATCTCTCGGGTAGTTTTGTATACGTAAGTAGAGCTGGTAGTCCATCCAAATGAAAAATACTACGACTAGCAGCAGAAGGATTAGTAATAATTTACTTATCTGCGAAGAAGGCCCCACCATTATTCCTGTTGATAGAGAAAGAACGAGTAACTATGAAGTTATAGCAATAGGGTTACTGGTCCGGGGGTAAATGGCGCTTTGGAGATCAATGATTAAGGCATTTCGATTCGGCTAACTTTTTAAATCACGATTTTGTAGAATTTTGAAAAAATATTTGTAAGAAATATCTTTTTTGATATTTTTTCATTTCTTGATATTGTTGAAAAGACCATTTTTGGATTTTTCGACTTCTTCAGTTCTTCATAAACTCAAAATTTTAAGTTCTTCGTGTTCGAGATACTCTCCTGATACAAATGTCTTTTTCGAAAATTGTGGTATACAAGAGAGTATTTCTATAGGATGTAAACTTTTCTTCTCAAAATTGAAGGAGCAGAATTACAGCAATGGTGGAAAATGTAAAATTTGTGGCTAAGCACCTTTCTACGCATTTTGTTCTCCTGATACAAATTATTTTTAAAAATCGCTATATCAGGACCAAAAAAATCGCGTTCGGCACATTTTCATGCACAAATCTTTCCTCTAAAAATTTAGGCAGCAGGGTCACAGAAACAAAAGGAGTAAACATGATTCCGGTCTCCTGACACAAGTTTCTCAAAATTCAAAAACAGAAGTTTTCTGAATCTGAATGTCTCAAGGGTACAAAAAATTACGGTCTCAAAAATCGCTTTGTTAAACGTCCTGTTCTCCTGATACAAAGTCCACTTTTGTTGAACCAGGAGCACATGAACGTAAGAACGTGTTCATTGTTAAGGTACCTTTTCATGCACTGGGTCCATCTAATACAAATTTCTCCTAAAACCCGGAATCAGATACCTGTATATTCTGTTCTCCTAACACAAATTGCAGTGAAAATTGAGTGTTTCCAAAAAGATTCTCCCAAATACCTTTTAAAACTACGATTTTCTAGAAAATATGAAACGTTTTTGGGGAAGAAATTATTATCGGGGGATCTAGAATACCCCCCAAAATATTCAATTACTTTTTTCCAAAAACTACGAGAGTGCTAGGGTACTAGAGAAAGAATTATCGGATCCTCCTTTTTAGGGGGTACCGCTATACCCCCCAGTACTATATTCTGTGGTCTTTTCTTGATTGTCATTAAGTTTTTGGGGAAGAAGTTACTATCAGGGGGTCTGGGGGTACCCTCCCCCCCCCAGTATACAAAAAAAATTCAATTACTTTTTCCCAAAGACGAGTGCTAGGGTAATAGAGAATTATCGAGTCCTCCTTTGGCGGGGGTACTGCTGGGGGGTGGGTATGTCCCCAGCCCAGACTCCCCGTTACTACATTCTTCCTTCAAGTTTAATCTTTAATAATGAATGTTTTTGGGTAATGACAGTTATATTTGGTTCTAAATTCTGTGGTCTCTTCTCGAAAATTATCATTAAACGTTCTTGGGGAAGAATGCAGTACCGGGGTGGGGGGGGGGGGAGGGAATACCCCCCCTAGTATATACGAAGACTCAATTACTTTTTCCCAAAAACTACTACGAGAGTGCTAGGGTAATAGAGAAGAATGATCGTATCCTCCTACGCCCAGGGTAATGCTGGGGGGTATGGAATACCCCCCCAGACCCCTGGTACTACATTCTTCCTTCAAGTTTAACCTTCAACCATTACTGTTTTTGATAATGAGAGTCGTATTTTGGTTGTAAGTTCAGTGGTCTTTTCTCGAAAATTATCATGAAACGTTTTTGGGGAAAAATGCAGTACCGGGGGTGTGGGGGGTATGGAATACCCCCCTAGTATATACGAAGATTCAATTACTTTTTCCCAAAGACTACTATGAGAGTGCTAGAGTAATAGAGAAGAATTATCGTATCCTCCTTTGCCAAGGGCAATGCTGGGGAGTTATCCATACCCCCCAGAACTACATTCCTCCTTCAAGTTTAACATTCATTCATTTTTTTTTTGGGCAATGACAGTCATATTTTTGTTCTAAGTTCTGTGGTCTTTTCTCGAAAATTATCATTACACATTTTTGTGAAAGAATGCAGTACTGGGAGGTTTGAAATACTCAATGACTACTACGAGAGTGGTAGCGTAATAGAAAAAGAATTATCGAGCCCTCCTTTGGCAGGGGTACTGCTGGAGGGTATTCCATACAGCATTATATTAAATTCTGAACTACATTTTATTTCGTGCTTCGCGTCCCATTTGAAATAAGAATGATAAATGCAATTAGAATGCATAATAATCTGTTTGACAATATCTATCCTTACGGTTAAAAAGCGACTTAGCCTAGCCTACTCATTCAAACCTATTAAAATGTCATTTTAACATCTGCTATAAAATAAAGAATATTACAATGTCATTTTTCAAAATGGTGAAATGCTTCAATCATTGATAACCCAAAGGTCACCTTTTACTACCATTTGCTCCCGAATTATAGGTAAATAAATCGTGATTATACAGTACGTGTTCATGAAGTTACTTGTTAAACTTTTGCAAATCAAGCGCTAGTTCTATGGCAATGATAGGTTATGGGCCCAGGCCCATGCTATTTAGTGCATACCTATATTACCTACTTCAATTCATATGTAATGAAAACTGACCGAGTATGGACGTGAATGGAGAAGATAACTGAGATCTGAAAGTGATAATACAAGTTTTGCAGCGTTGCCAATTTGACCTCGGTTAAAATCATGTGATAAGGATTTTTGAAGTTTGAAGATACAAATATCTACAGGGTGTCCCATGACAAATATCAACTATTTTCCTTTTGATTAGGGCGTATGTGCTTAATTTACATATACGACAAGATGCTCTACCTCTTTCAGAAATCAATGCTAATGGCAAGATTAAAAGAGGACATGTTTTAAGTGAAATGATCAAACATGAAGCGATCTCCAAAGGAATTTTGACTTCCAACCTTTCCGATCGGCGAATGAATGATTCTGATTGGCTAATGAAAATTGGAAGTGGAAGTGCGGATCCAAAAAATACCAGTAACAGTATAACTTTACCTATTAAACGGTTATATCTTAGATGCTACTTCTCTTCCGCCGACAATTCCAAATTTACAACTAAGTAACGGGCGCTTACTAAACGATTAAAGGTTTTTCAGTCTTGAAAATTTGTAAATTTTAAAGCTAATTGTACTAAAAGCATTCACACTCGAACCTGCAAGTACATTTTTGAGCTAATAAACGTCGTCTGAAACGTTAGTTACCTGAGGAATTTGCGTGCTTTTACCGCATCCGGTCTCGCCGACGAGCACCAACGTCTGGTACTTCTCAAGTAGGTACAGGATGTGATTGCGGTTGTTGAATATCGGCAGACGTTGCCTTTGGGTCTGTATCGACTGCGATAGATGTCGATTGTAGATGAAAGCCGTCGATTCCACAAAAGTGGCGTCGTTTCGATCTAGGAAGCTCGAGTTGTCTGACGGTTTCAAGAAGCGGGGTTTGAAATCACTCATAACAGAACACGATTGGGATTATTTGTGCGTCTCTAGAATTACTCTCCACTGACTCTTCGCACCTGTGAAATAAATCTCCTAAGATAAAGGAGACGGTGGCTGTCTCGATGATACGCACCTCAAAATGTGCAATTAAGAAACGTGTCGATCATGACAATGCCTTAGTTTCCCGGAAAATTCTCCTCTGCAATTAGAAATGTTTAATAACCGCACGAAAATGTGCAGTGACGTAATTTGCTTAACTGATCATGGCCATATGATATATGATGATGTAAATAACAGTGGTGGAAGTGGTAAACGTACCGGCTTTGTGACCTCCGCATTGAGGTTCTAGCAAACAGCGTTGCCAGATCCAATTAGTCATGACTTTGGTTCTCCTTGACATACGAATTTCGATGAATGCAGAACGGTGGTGTATGCAATACCCCTCAGGAATGAATCTTTATGGAAATGTAGAACCACATAGGAAATACCCCCTTGAAGTAGTACCTTTTTCAACGAGCGTAGAATATGGTGGCTATTATTACTACACCTAATCTATTGGGATCATCGTATAAAGCCCGTTTGTAACGATCACTTATTTAGTCAAATCTTTAGTCCTTTTTTTTCTTCAATAAAGATAATGCTATCCTAAAAATGTCATAAATGATGAAACTGTATGTAACATTCCATAATATTGTCAATTTTTTAGTACCTGTAAAATGTAAACATTTGTACATAACCTATGTTATATTAAATCTGGAGACTAAGTATTTATCTTCTGTAAACTAAGGTCTCTATCTACTGTCAACGTATTATAGTGAGCTTTAAAAATGAATATAAATTAAATTTTGATTTTACAAATTCCCTATAATCTGTAAAAGTTACTAAAAAATTGAGGGAAAATAGGACAGGTTCTAAACATTACAAAAATAGGACAACGTTCAGTTCCTAAAATAACTACCAAAAAATTGATCAAAGTTGATGTATGAAATGTTCAATTTTTTTGTTCCTAAAAAAATTATTTAAAAATTGACTAATTGCCGTATGCACCGTAGCGTTTTTAAACTGGATTAGAGTTTAAACTTGGTTAAATAACATAACTACTATGCACCGCTAATGTTTAGAGTGCTAACGAAGCTTAAAGTTACACCGGCAATTTTGCTCGTAAATAAGTGATCGTTACAAACGGGCTTAAAATAAAACCCACTGCGCCGCCACTGGAAGCGAGAAGGTATAAACCTGAAAATTGCCCCTTACCGGTACTTGAGCTACTGCCAGACTGTCTACTGCTGTACCTAGAGTCTAGTTATAAATAGACGGTAAGTAATTTAATTTGTATTGTTTAAATAGCACAAATTTCTCGATTACGTTATTGATGTTAGATATGGAAGGAAATGATGTGGTATCGCTCATTAAAATCGAACCAAAACAAGAAGAAGAAATCAATTCCGATCTCCAAGAAAACATTTTAGTAAGCAACAAAGCATTGGTTACAATAAAGGACGAAATTGCCGTTACTGCACAGTGCTCTATATCGCTCGGGCTCGATAATGAAGCTGTACAACAACAAAGTGATGGTGAGTGGAATATTAAAACTGAAATTTCAAACGATTTTAAATGTGACTTCGATCAACAAACAACAATTAAGCGACAAGTTGAACATGTTTTAAAGCATAATACTTCAGAAGACTTGAACTGTGCTCAATGTGATTATGGAACAAAGAATAAACGACAGCTTCAACGACACATTTTAACACACAAGCCTATTGTGCTACAATGTGCTAATTGTGATTACAAGACAACCAACAAATACCACTTTAAACGACACGTATTAAATCATACCGATTCTAAAGATTTTAAATGTTCTACTTGTGATTTTGAGACAAATAACAAATGCTACTTCGAAAAACACCTTTTGAGCCATACTGATTCTAAGGAATTTAAATGTGCTAATTGTGATTACATGACAAGTAACAAAAACTACCTTAAAAATCATCTTTTAAGACATATCGATTCTAAAAACGTTAAATGTGCTAATTGTGATTACAAGACAAATCACAAATATCAGTTGAAACGACACGTTTTACAACATATTGGTTCTAAAGATTTTAAATGTGCTAATTGTAATTTCGAGACAAATTACAAAACCAATTTTAAACAACACCTTCTAAAACATATCGATTCTAAAGAATTTAAATGTGTCAATTGTGATTACAAGACTAATAACAAATACCACTTTAAAGAACACCTTTTAAGACATACTGATTCTAAACATTTTAGATGCGTTCATTGTGATTATGGATCAAATACTGAACGATACCTTAAACGACACCTGTTGAAACATACCGATTCTAAGGATTTTAAATGTGTTAATTGTGATTACGAGACAAATTACAAAACCAATTTTAAACAGCACCTTTTAAAACATACCGATTTTAAAGGTTTTAAATGTGCTACTTGTGATTACTGGACAAAGAACAAATACCACTTTAAAGAACATCTTTTAACGCATATTAATTTTAAAGATCTTAAATGTGCTAATTGTGATTACAAGACAAATAAGAACTACCTTTTAAAACGACACATGTTAAATCATAAAAATTTTAAAGATTTTAACTGTGCTCACTGTGATTATGCAGCAAATAGTGAACGGTATCTTAAACGACACCTTTTAAAACATAAAGTTTCTAAAGATTTTAAATGTGCTCATTGTGATTACGGGACAAATTACAAATACCACCTTAAAGAACATCTTTTAAGACATACTGATTCTAAAGATTTTAAATGTGCTAATTGTGATTACAAGACGAATAAAAACTACCTCTTTAAACGACACATGGTAAAACATAAAAGTTCTAAAAATTTTAACTGTGCTCATTGTGTTTATGGAACAAATAATGAACGATATTTTAAACGACACCTTGTAAAACATACAGTTTATAAAGATTTTATGTGTGCCCATTGTAATTATGAGACACATAGCAAAGTCTGTCTTAAACAACACCTTTTAACACATACAAACTCTCCTCAGCTTAAGTATTAATTCTTTAGTGTGACTTCATGAGAGTAATAACATTTAAAATTTTGGCTAAATAATTGTGGATGTGGTAAAATTTAAGGATCGATTATCTCAGAGCATGACAAAGATAGAGATGCCTTGGTTGTGGTACCTACTAAGGTGTTTGGTTCGAATTCGAGTTTGTGCATTTGTAAATGTATAGTGGGCTGGGTTGGTTGAAACTCCGCCTACCTAAAAACAAAGAAACTAAAAAGAACAATTAATAGCACATACAATTGGAAGGATCTAATAAATAGTTTTTTTATAGGGAAAGTTTAATGGAAGGTTTTCCATAGTTTTATAGCATTTACCACTAGCAACACTCAAATTATCCCCCCCCCCCCCGCGATTCTGTGCTCGGTTTCTGTGCAGCGCCGCGGCAGAGGGAGTTCGAGGCATGCGCTTGAGCGGGACTTGCATTTTCGTGGGTTAATAAAAATTGGGTTTACGGTGTCTAGAGTTTTATTTAATGTAGGTAGGTATGTGTTGATCCTGACGGACCTATCACAGATTCAATAACAATTCATGGCAATGTTAGACCAGGCCTTGCAAATTCAAATTTATAATATCGAGCGCCTACCAAATTATAAAGAAACTGAGCATCAACTTGGACAAACCATATCTCAGACTTTTCTGCCAAAAAAGGTTTGAGCAAAGGGTTTTGTTGACCTGCGGCGATGTCGCCGTTGACGATGAAAGTTCCACCTTGTATATACAACTTATGACGATAGGTACATACATTTTTGAGAGTTGGCAACCATGCAATTTCTGGATGGGGAAAAGCTACCTGCGCCCATATCTTCTCTTATATATATGCCTGCGCCAACTAAAAAGCAGGAATGTGGGTTACGTTGGGCATCTTGTCATTAATTGAAGGTTGTGAAGCAGCGTTAATATAAATGGGTAAAATAAAACTCGTCTCGTCGGTCCGCCACTGACATTGATACGCAAAAAACCGAAAGCTGATCCTTACGGTACTTGAGCTACAGCCAGTGTTGTGGCTGTACCCAAAAATTAAATGGACGGTGACTGCAAGACTTATTTTTCACTCGTAGGACACTTATTATTGTCTAATACCAAACTTTATTTTGGATAAACAAAAACGTAGTTTCTTAAGTGATGGATATGGATGGAAATCATGTTGCACCACTCGTTAAAATCGAACCAAAAGAAGAAGAAGAAGAAATGTGTTCCGATCTTCAAACAAGCATTTTAGTAAGCAACGACGCACTGATTATAATCAAGAACGAAATTACTATTACTGCACAGTACTCCACATCACTGGATAATGAAGTACAACCAAGTGATTGTGGACGGAATATTCAACACATAACAAATAGTAAGTTGCATGTTAAACAACATCTTTTAAAGCATAATGGCATTTTAAAAGACATTGATTCAAAATTTTTTAAATGTGCTCATTGTGATTACGAGACAACTAAAAAATTCAACTGTAAACAACACCTTTTAACACATAATGATTCTAAAGAATTTAAATGTGGTCGTTGTGATTATGGAACAAATATTGAACGATATCTTAAACGACACCTTCTGAAGCATATCGATTCTAAATATTTTAATTGTGCTCATTGTGATTATAAGACAAATTTCAAATACCACTTTCAACGACACCTCTTAACACATACCGATTCTAAAGATTTTAAATGCGCTCATTGTGATTACGAAACAAATAATAAACAATATCTAAAAGGACACCTTTTAAAACATAAAGTTTCTAAGGACTTTAAATGTGCTACTTGTGATTACCAGACAAATGACAAACGCTGCTTTAAACTACATCTTTTAAAATATAACGTGTCTAAATATTTTAAATGTGATCTTTGCGATTATGCGACATATAACAAACACAGTCTTAAGCAACACCTTTTAAGGCACACACAAGTTTCTTGTTAACTTAAATATTAATTCTGTAGTAGCATATATGCATTTGGAAGGATCTAAATAGGTTTTTCGATATTTATATGAATTTCTAAAAATCTAAGTTGTCAATTTAAAGTGATCAAAAAAATATAATTGTTTCATTTATGAATATTGAATTCAATTGACTGCTTCAGCCGGATTTTCCTCGATCTAAACTAAAAAACTAAAATCCTTTACATGGACGATTTCTAGTTATCTGAATGTGACTGAAAGTTACATGTTAGCAATGCAGGGCCAGGTCATTAACACGCGCAGCTATAAATGACTCTGTTCACACACATCAGAAACACTCCAACACCAAACAACTTTAGGGGCGTAGTGTCCGTAACCGAGGATCGCCTTGCCCATGGGCGGCGACCCATCCCTTAACCCTCTTCAGTTTCGTGTCACTTTCGTCTCTAAAAGTGAGTTGCCTTCAATCCGCGAGTAAAGGAAAGTCATGTTGTGACGAATATTTTACGCAAACGTCTCCTACGCCCATACCTTCGTTAATTAAGCCAGTGTTCTGCTTAGGTGTTTGGTGTTTTAATTTGCTTGTGATTAACTTAATTTGGGTTTTTATTCAATGCTGAGGTTTTTCTCTAGTCGCGCTCTTTTTCCGCAATTTTTAAACAATGGGTACGCTCAGGAGCTTTATAAGCGCTACTTGTGAGCGGTAGGCGTACACTTGAACCGCTTCAGTCTGGTGAACGCAGGCAAGTTTTCTTTAAACGTTTGGGCTGGCATCCTGGGGGACAACCTACTGGGGCCTTACATCCTCCCTCCGCGTCTAAATGCCCATAATTACCTGATTTTCCTGCGCGAGGTGCTACCAGAACTTTTAATGGATGTTCCAGTGAACTTGTACTGGGACCACTGGTTCCAGCACGATGGGTGCCCTGCTCACTACGGGCGGCAGGTGAGGGAACACTTGGACCAAACCTATCCGGACAGATGGATCGGCCGTGGAGGTGCGGTGGAGTGGCCTGCCCGCTCGCCCGACATCACCCCATTAGATTTTTACTTGTGGGGTGTGATGGAAGCGCACGTCTACGAGACTCCCGTCGAATCCGAAGAGGACTTAATTGCGCGCGTCGTCATGGCCGGAGAGGCTGTTCGCCAGGACATAGGAGTCTTCACGCGAGTTCGAGGGGAGTGGTTGGCTAGATGTAGGAAGTGCATTGAGAACAACGGTGGCCACGTTGAACACTTGTAAACGTTATTGCTTTTGACTGTCGTTTTCCCTCCTTCCCTCCCATGTCGCTTCCTCGCGCTAACTCGCTCTGCATCGCTCCGCGCGAAACGTCGGTCGGTTGGGTTGCCTACATACAGGCGTGAAATTCCAGAAGATAAATTTGGTTCTGGCGCCCTTATTTTGGATTTCCGATCCCCTATACGCTCCCAAACGGTGGCAGGTACTATAGGAATCACCCTGTATATGCAGGTATAGTGATTTTGCATTTTGCTCAATTCAAGCAGGTTCATATGAATTGTAGCGGCAAAATGTAATATGCCTAGTAATTTTTCGCTTTATTGTATTACCTTCAGTTGCTGGTAACTGCAGGTAGATAATTCTTCAATTTGTTTGTTATTTCCTTGTTTCACTTTAAATGTGATTGCCGATTCAGTTTAAGGTTACCGTATTCAGGACCTTCAGATACCTTCCGGACTGGAAAAGGTCCAGCGAATTAACAATGTATTTCATGTACATCAAATGTTGTACTAAATTAACGTAAGTTTTAAATGATTCAATCAAGAGTTGTCGAAAGCCCAAGTTATCAAATTTATTTACAAAGAAATCATTCACAAAAATTTGACTTATTGTTTAGCGAGTTGTTTAGCTTTCTTGGCGAGCTCCTGGAACATTTTCGTAAGCTTCTTGACGCTGTTTATGTCCTCGAACGCCGGTACCGACGTCTGAAGCGCCTTGTACCACCTCGAGACGTTCTTGTAATCGGAACGTTTGAGTTTGGCGACATCGTAAGTGGACAGGGTTGTCGCTATGGCGAAGTCGGCGAGCGTCATGGAATCCCCCGCGACGTACTCGGCGGCGCCCAAAAATCCGTCCAAAAATTCCAGAGCCTCCTCGACTTTCTTGTACTTTTCCGGATCGGGAGCTCCTTTGCCCGCGATTACGGGGTACTGAGAGATTGTCATTACGAAAAACTGGCCGTAGGCGATGAGATACTTACGTAGTACTCGGCGAGGCGTTGATCGAGCACGCCGTTGTTGAAGTACAGACGTTGATCGACAACCGCTCGCTTTTTGACGTCTTTGGGATACAAAGAGTCGGTCTTTCCGTAAGTTTCTACAAGGTAGGTGGCAATTACCGGACTTTCCCAGAGGGCGAATCCGTTATCGACAATTGTCGGGATGCAGTGCTGGGGGTTGATCTGAAAGTAATTGATTGACGAGTGAATTTGACCTTGACCAACTTACCTTCAGAAATTCGGGAGTCAAGTGTTCTTTTTTTATCATCAGGTCGAGCTCTTTGAAATTCAAATCGACACCCAACGTTCGCGCGGTCAACTCAATAAAGCGACACTGTCCGACTACAGGCGCGTAGTAAAAATCAATCGGCATTTTTTTAAATCCTCGGGAAACTGATAGCTGACGAATCGCCCGTACTCAAACTACTGATAGAACACCAAGGAGATCTACAACAAACAGAAACCGGCGCTTTTTATAACTGATGATGCTCTCGCTGGGAAGATAATACTAATCAAACAAACCATAAAGGTAAGCCTCGCCTTTATTAGATAATTAATTAACGACGACAAGCTTTACGCTGCTATCGTGAATATTCCTAATTGCCATTTACGGTGCTGGATTTGAGCTACAACACCTTTTTCTCGATTTGAGCACGGATTTGTACCGGTGCTTATTCACACACATTGAAATGTTGAAATCGACATGCAAACATATAAACTTTAGGGCATATATAAAAAAATGTAATGATATACAGAATAACAAATTGAGGCCACGTACTTTTTCTTAGGAATTAAAGTGTTAATTGGACTGTTTAAACAAAAAGAAATTGACGCTTGTGGCGACGCGCCGCATGCACATCCGGCAGCGAACTAAAACGTGGTGCACCCTCATTGGCCAAAACGGCCGACCGATAAGAGCGTAGCGTCCCTGGTCGCAAACGTTTCGTTAAAAATTTGACATTCACGAAATAGCTGTCCTATCGCGACCCAGGTTCCACAGCGCCCCATTAGTATTGTACCTATCTCCGTTGGGTGGTTTCCTCAAAGCAGGTTTTTTTTCCAAAATGTGTGTAAGGAATGATCTAGAGTCTAGACCTAGATTGTTTTCCAAACTGCTAGCAATTTTAAAGGTTGGTACAAACGATATCGTTAGCCATTGTCCGATCTGTCTGGTGTTGTACCGGGCGACCCAGTAAGACTGTTCCTCAGCCATATCTCGAGAACCGTTCTATGACTTAGGGGTAAAAATATTATTGGGTAAATCGGTCATGAAGAATCGCTGGAAAATATTTGATGACCAACAGAGGGCGTAGCTGACATCTTAAATTTTAAAATTGCATTTTCTTTAATTTCGCATTATAAACTACAACTAATTTTTTTAAAGAGAACCAGTTTATCTATCATTTTCGTAAAAACAAAAACTCTGTTATTTCAAAAACAAAGAGGGCGTGGGGCGTTCAATTGTTTTTGCAATAACCTGCTTTAACTTCTTAATCGTTTGACCAATTTTAACAAATTTGGTATGGTTGAAAAGAGCATTCCTTGGGCAATGAGAATCATATCAAATATGGTTAATTTAGTTGAATCCTTCTCCGCCAGGGGGCTAGTTTTGACACTATGATCCAAAATCCTAAAAAAATAAATGGAATATGACTTTTTCTTTATGAAAAAGTAGGCAAATAACATCCAAAGAGGCCAGAGAAAACCGTTCCTAACCTCAAATATTGGGAAAATGAGATTAATTAATTAATTAATTAATAAAAATGCTTAAATTGTGTCTTATTTGACGTATTTCCGGTATTTGTCGATGGCGCGAAAGAAAAGCACCCTACACTTTTAGGTACGCCTTGGAAAATTAAACAAATGAAACACGATGCATTATAAAATAATAACAGCCGTAATTTGTAAATTATTCTGCTGTTTACATGCAGAAAGTGCAGTTTTTTGAATTTGTAATCTTTTCTAAAGTGCTAATTTCTAACGAAGAAGCATTTAATATGCTGGCGGCGATGGTTTATGATCGATTCGGATAACGCAAATAGAAGATGCGGGCAGCGATGATCGCATTTTGGAAATACTCAAAATATATCGAAAAAGTCATATTCCATTTATTTTTTTAGGATTTTGGATCATAGTGTCAAAACTAGCCCCCTGGCGAAGAAGGATTCAACTAAGTTGATTCTCATTGCCCAAGGAAAGCTCTTTTTAACCATACCAAATTTGTTACAATCGGTCAAACCGTTAAGAAGTTAAAGCAGATTATTGCAAAAACAATTGAACGCCCCACGCCATCTTTGTTTTTGAAATAACTGAGTTTTTGTTTTTACGAAAATGATAGATAACTTGGTTCTCTTTAAAAATGTGAAAAAAGAATGTTTAGTTTATTACGCGAAATTGAAAGAAAATGCAATTTTAAAATTTAAGATGGCAGTTACGCCCTTTGTTGGTCATTTTTAGAACTTGAAAATATTTTCCAGCGATTCTTCATGACCGATTTACCTAGTAATTTTTTTCAACCCTAAGTCATATGGCCGAGGAACAGTCTTATTGGGTCACCCGGTTCGTTAGTTGGTTTATTTCTAACAGAAAATATTTTAGGGTCCTCTTCTAATAATTGAAACTATTTGCTTAAAATTCGTTTATTTCCGCCAAGGCCGCTTCGCAATTTTTTAAAGTATTATGTTCGAATTTCTATTTTGATTCAACATAGGAAAATTTACACATGTACCGCTTCATACTGAACGTGAACGCAAGTATGTCTAGAGATAAAGTGCGATGAACGTGCGCATTTCGATTAAAAACGTGGGTCGGTTAGAGCGGTTTGTGGGGGGGATCTTAGCCCGCATTCGAGGTTAGACTTTCAGAGAGTGAGCGCGAGAAATCGTTGTCGCGTAATTGTGAAGATTCGTCGTTCAACTTTAATAAGTAAAACGCGTAATTAGTAGTGAAAATTTGTAAAAATTAACAGCTTAATTTCGGGTAAGACATATAAAGTGGCGCGTTTAAGCAAATTTGAACTTGTACAAAGTGCGAGTTACGGGCGTGTAATTCTACGTAAAAGGAATGACATAAAACGGGCGTTTTGTGGTAAGGCCATTTGTTTAGGCAGAGAGAAGGAGCTGGAGCAGGGATCTGTGGAACGGTTATGCGAATACTTTTACGTACACCAAGCAGATGGCGGAGCCGGAAAAGATGGAGGAAGTGTTCCCCTGTGCTATCGTACGGCCATCGATAAGTAAGTTGTTACATCTGGCCTCCATACTTTTTTAGGTCTTTAACTTCTAAAGAAAGCTTCTAAAACCCAAAGGAAGAGGGAAGAACCTTTCACGCTAATAAAGTTGGCACCCTCTCTTGTCCCAAATTGTAAATCTGTGCGTCTATTACTTGGTACTAATTAAACACTAACTTGTACCCACAAAAGCAACTGTCTTGGCGGTTTCCAGGAAAAGTAATTGATTTCTTGTACCCCCCCCCCCCCCATGATCCACCGCTGCTACGCTCTCCCCCAAAAGGTTTAGGACAATCAACATGCTTATGATAATTTTGCAGGAGGGTGTCAACCAAACTCACTTTTCTGGGAGATATTACATAAATTAGTTTTAATGGGGGGGGGGGGGTACATACTCCGGAAAAGGTAATTGATCCCCACTCCGGTGCACTGCTCGCCCCTAAAACGTTTACGACCGCCAACATGCCTATATGATTATTTTGCAAGGGAGTGTCATCAAACTAGCCTTTCCTAGGAGATATTCCATGCGCAAGAGTTCTAAGGGATGAAGAACATAGCACCGGGGGAGATGAGGGTATGGAATAACCCTCTCCCTCCTCCCAGCAAAAGGAGATTTGATGACAAACGTCATGTCGGGACAAGGTAATGCATTTTTAGTGTGTGCTGGGGGGTATTGAATACCCCCCAAGACCCCCCGGTGCTACTATCTCACCTAAAACGTTTAGGACAATCGAAGTGCTTATGATTATTTTGTTGAGGGTGTTATCAAGGCCCCCCTTCATCAAATCTCTCTTTACTGATCCACACACAGGAGTTCTAAGGGGGGGGGGGAGAACATAGCACCGGGGGCCGAGGGGCATGGAATACCCCCTAGTAAAGGAAGATTTGATGACAACTGTCAAGGTAGTTCTTGGAAAAAGATTGATTCTTTGTACCTAGGGAGGTATTCATTACTCCCCCGCATCCCCGATGCTACGCTCTCCCCTAGAACGTTTCGAGCAATGAACATGCTTATGATTATGTTGCAGGGAGTGTCATCAAACTGTCCTTTTCTGGGAGTAATTCCATACATGTCAGTTATAGCGGGGGGGGGGGGGTGTGATTTGATACTGCTATAGTTCCTAGTAGTTCTAGCTAAAAGGAAAATGGATGCCTTGTTTTTCTTGGGGGGTATTCCGTACTTCCCCCCGGCGCTGTGCTACGCTTTCCCATACAACGTTTCGGTCAAACAAGGGGGAGAGAGACCATATCACAGGGAACTCAGAGGCTTTCGTGAAAGCATGATATTTACTCCTTAAATGCGCAACTTTTCCTTAATTTGGCCCATCGTTTTATCTTCTATGGTTTCGGGGATCCTCATCATAGACATCTTTATCTAGGACATAATCCTAATGCGGCAAGATACTTTTTTGTGTCCTCCACACTCAGTGTAGAAATAACAAAATCAAAACACAAAAGGCATGATTATGTTGGATGTCGTATAGAAACACGCGCATATCTATCTCTGTTAATTTCCGTAAAGTTAAGCGATAATGTTTGCAGGTTGCGCTAATTTATGATTGTTAATTGTGTGTATTAATTTTAAGGTTGCGAACGTTACTTTCATCTAATTGGGGATACAGTATTAAAACTCATTGCTCCGCCACTGGAAGTGAGAAATTATGAACCTGACAGTTGACCCTTACCGGTATTTGAGCCACAGCCAGAGCTTTGTCTACATCTGAACCATTGAGATAGAAAACTAATGGAGGGAATATAATGGTAGAGGGGGTAAGAATTTTTGTAGACGGAAGTTGCCACAGATAGAGGCCACTCGCGTGGATAGGTTCCCGTGAAGGTACATTTTGGCCGACATTATTTGACATATGAAAACGCGGATCCTGTCACTGTCAGTTTTCCACCAAATTCAAATTTAATTAAATTTGCAATTTTGTAGTACCTAATAATTTCGGATCGGTTTGTGCTCTGGTTTATATAAATAACTAACTGCCGCATGTCATTTATCATGTTGTAGGCGAGGTTGTAGGTACCCAGTTTATGTTTCTTAGTTTTCCAAACGGACCAGTACTTCGAGCAAAATGGTTACCTAACATTTGTAAATATATCTCAAGAACAGCTCTCGAAATTTGCTTTTGTGCTCACAACGCTTCATTGACTGTGATTTCGACCAAAGGTTGCACCGGAAAGGCGGAAAATGTTCATCAAATATGCAGTAGGTACTATCAAAACTTGTTTTTGCAGCTAAACGTGTGAGTTTATAATATGGATATCAGGTGTAAGTTTTTTTACGAGTGCGGATACATTTTGAGACCAATAAACAATAAATTATTATTGAATCTCTCTGCCGTTGTAATGAACCTGAGACCAACCAGTCTATTGTAGCTATTGATCAACACAGTGAATTTAATGGGAGTTGTCAAGTTGTATAGTGGCTATAGTAAACTGGCCTTAATTATACTACTGGAACACATCGATGTATATTTAAATTTGTAATCAATGATTATATTAAATCTGCATACTTTCCCATCCTTGTCTATTTTGTTTACTTTACCACGAGCATGTATTTTACTCCTATACGTTTTTTTGTTATTATTCCTATTAGTGGAAAGAAAATTATATCTCTACGCCACTGAAGTGAGACGCTAATGATAACGGAAGTGGTGTGGTACTTTAATCACAGCTAGAGGCCACTTTTGGTTCCCGTGGTCTACGTCTAGGGCATCGATTCCCGAAGTTAGTCGATATGCTCCGTGATGTGCATGTGATGTGACCGGCTGTCATGACGTCATGATCGTATACGATAGGGATAAGTTTAGCTGCATTCCCGAATCGCGAACAAACTGTATGCGCTAACCAATCACAGACAAGAATTGAACTGTCATTTGTCAGTTTTGTATTTTGTTTCGTTTTTGCATTAAGGATACTGTTATTAATAACCAGAAAATCCTCGAACAATTCCATGTTTTATTTCACAGAAAATATGTGAATTTATAGGTTAGGGCACTGAATAACCTCTATAGCAAAACAGCTGCAAGATCCGTCCTGTAGCTGGAACTGCGCATGACTTTCACGCAACGAGTGGTCTAGACCAGTCGTTGCGTTCGATCAACTTTTCGCTCGATGTGGTAGGTTCGAGAATGCAGTGACATTCACGTTCACATCAAGGTCAGTCGATGTGAACAAAGCACATCTTCGGGAATCGACGCCCTGGCCAAGCATTTGATTCCTTCCATTAGTTTTCTAACTCAATGATCTGAACCCAGAGATAAATAGACTGTGACTGGTAAAAAATTTGTATTGTTTAATAATAAACAAAAACATAATTGTAACGCATTTCTTGATAACGTTATTGATGTTAGATAATGGAGGGAGGCGATGTCTTACCACTCATCAAAATCGAACCAAAACAAGAAGAACTCCATCTTTACGGGAACATTTCACTTAGTGAGGAAGCATTGGTTACAATAAAGGACGAAATTACTGCACAATGCTCCAAGTTGCTCGGCAATGAAGACGTACAACAGCAAACTGATTGTGGATGGAATATTAAAACTCAGTTTTCCGACGATTTTGAATGTGACTTCAGTCAACACACAAGTAGTAAGCTGCAGGTAAAACTAACATTTCTTAAAACATAATGTTTCAGAAAGCTTTAACTGTGCTCATTGTGATTATGGAACAAATATTGAACGATATCTTAAGCGGCACCTTTTAAAACATAACGATTCTAAAGATTTTAAATGTGCTAGTTGTGAATACAAGACAAATGTCAAATACCACTTTAAACGACATCTTTTAACACATACAGATTCTAATGATTTTAAATGTGCTCATTGTAATTACGGAACAAGTAATGAACACTATCTTAAACGACACGTTGTAAAACATATCGATTTAAAATATTTTAAATGTGCTAGTTGTGATTACAAGACAAACAACAAATATCACTTTAAAGACCATTTCTTAACGCATACCGTTTCTAACGCTTTTAAATGCGCCCATTGTGATTATGGAACAAATAATGGACGATATCTTAAACGACACCTTTTAAAACATAACGATTCTAAAGATTTCAAATGTGGTAATTGTGATTACAAGACAAATATCAAATACCACTTTAAACGACACCTTTTAACACATACCAATTCTAAAGAGTTTAAATGTGCTCATTGTAATTATGGAACTAATAATGAATGGTATCTCAAACAACACCTTTTAAAACATATCGATGCTAAAGATTTGGAATGTGCTAATTGTGAATATAAGACAAATAACAAATACCACTTTAAAGAACACCTTTTAACACATACCGATTCTAAAGATTTTAAGTGTGCTCAGTGTGATTTTATAACAAATAAACAACAGTATCTTAAACGACATCGTTTAAATCATATTGATTATAAGGATTTTAAATGTGCTAATTGTGATTACGAGACAAATATCAAATACCACTTTAAAGAACACCTTTTAACACATATCGATTCTAAAGATTTTAAATGTGCTTATTGTGATTATGGATCAAATAATGAACGATATCTTAAGCGACACCTTTTAAAGCATACCGATTCTAATTTTAAATGTGATATTTGTGATTACCAATCAAATAGCAAGTACTGCTTTAAACGTCACCTTTTAAAACATAGCGGTCCAAAAGATTTTAAATGTGCTCATTGCGACTTTGAGACACCTAAAAAATTCTCTCTTAAAAACACCTTATAACACACAAACCGTTTTTACAAGGAACAAATTTCTCGTTAAATTAAATACGCACACTTAAGGAAATCATAACAAAAAATATGCATTTGGAAGGATCTAAATAGATTTTTTCAATTTACATGAACTTCTGAAAATCAAACAACTTTAGCTGGTAATAATTAACGTAAAATACTATACTTTTAATTTGTGGCGAACGTAGTAGTACAGAAAGTAGGTAAGTTGCAAAATACGTACTTCGTAATTTAATATGAAGTGACCCCTTTTTGCGCCGCCTATGGTTTTCAGTTGATTACATACGGATGCTATTGCGCATGTGCCGCGTTCTGCTTGCGTTGCAAAATGTATCCCTGTTTGTGTTGGGCACAAATGCCAATTTTAAGGTAAGGTGGGAGATATATCTATGCATATATGATCTAAGATATCAACACTGCCTAAGTCTATCCATGGTACTAGAGGTCGTCATGATTGTATGATATAGTTTCTGTCGATCTTTCGGATTATAGTGTTCATTAGCTGCATATTATTGATTTTCCTTTACAGTTAACAATAAATAACTAATAAGTTTGTATGTCCATGCATTTTATTTGTGGATCATTTGGGAATTCAGTATGAAAAACCCATCGCTCCGCCACTGATGGTGATACGTTATGACTTGCCGGTATTTGAGCTACAGCCAGAGCTTTTATCTACTACGTAGATAAGTTCTGTGATAAGTTCGTGCTACGTAGGCATTAAAGACCGCTAGATAATGGACGAAAATGATGCTCTACCGCTTATTAAAGTCGAACATAAACAAGAAGAAATCCAATCCGATCTTCAAGAAAAGAATTTAGTAAGCAACGATGCAGTGGTTACAATAAAGGACGAAATTACCATTACTGCACATTGCTCAGAATCGCTTGACAATGAAGAAGTACAACAACAAAGTGAATGGAGTAACGACTTAGAATGTGAATTTGATCAACACGCGAATAGTAAGGTTCAAGTTCAACAACATCTTTTAAAGAATATTTCAGGATGCTTAAACTGTTCTCATTGTGATTATAGGACAAAGAATAAACAACTATTTCAACGGCACATTGTGACACACAAACGTAATGCATTACAGTGTCCAGATTGTGATTACAAGGCAAACAACAAATATTGCTTAAAACGACATCTTTTAAAGCATACCAATTCTAAATATTTTAAATGTGCTAATTGTGATTACGAGACAAATAAAAAATACAACTTTAATCAACACGTTTTAAAGCATACCAATTCTAAAGACTTTAAATGTGCTCTTTGTGATTATGGAACAAATAATAAACGATATCTTAAACGACACCTTTTAAAACATACTGCTTCTCAAGATTTTAAATGTGCTCATTGTGATTATAGAACAAATGATAAACTAAATCTTAAACAACACGTTTTAAAACATATTGATTCTGAAGATTTTAAATGTGCTCATTGTGATTATAGAACAAACATTAGACGATATCTTAAACGACACCTTTTAAAACATATCGGTTCTGAAAAATTTAAATGCGCTAATTGTGATTACGAGACAAATAGCAAATACTACTTTAAGCGTCATCTTTTAAAACATACCGATTCTAAAAATTTTAAGTGTGCTAATTGTGATTACAGGACAAATAAAAAATACAACTTTAATCAACACGTTTTGAAGCATACCGATTCTAAACATTTTAAATGTGCTCTTTGTGATTACGGAACAAATAATAAACAATGTCTTAAAGGACACCTTTTAAAACATACCGATTCTAAAGATTTTAAATGTGCCACTTGTGGTTTCCTAACAACTTATAAATGCCACTTTAAACGACACCTTTTAAAACATACCGATTCTAAACCATTTAAATGTGTTAATTGTGATTACGAGACAAATCTCAAATGCCACTTTAAACGACACCTTTTAAAACATACCGATTGTAAAAAATATAAGTGTGCTAATTGTGATTACAGGACAAATAAAAAATACAACTTTAATCAACACATTTTAAAGCATACCGATTCTAAACATTTTAATTGTGCTCTTTGTGATTACGGAACAAATGATAAGCAGTGTCTTAAACGACACTTTTTAAAACATACCGTTTCTAAAGATATTAAATGTGCTCATTGTGATTATCGAACAAACGATAAACGATTTCTTAAACAACACCTTTTAAAACATATTGAATCTGAAGATTTTAAATGTGCTCTTTGTGATTATAGAACAAACGTTAAACGATATCTTAAACGACACCTTTTAAAACATACCGATTCTAAAAATTTTAAATGTGCTAATTGTAATTACAGGACAAATAGAAAATACAACTTGAATCAACACGTTTTAAAGCATACCGATTCTAAAGTCTTTACATGTGCTCATTGTGATTATGGAACAAATAATAAACAATGTCTTAAACAACACCTTTTAAAACATACCGATTCTAAAGATTTTAAATGTGCCAATTGTGGTTACCAAACAACTTATAAAGGCCTCTTTAAACGACACCTTTTAAAACATATCGGTTCTAAACATTTTAAATTGTGATTATAGAACACATATTAAACGCTTCAACAACACCTTCTAAACGATATTGATTCTAAAGGTTTTAAGAGAGAAAATTTTGATAACAAAAAACAAAACTTGCAAAAACACCACTGTTTAGATAGCTAGGGGAAAGTTACATCTGCACCAACAGCAACCCTCACTTTAAAATATTTTAATGTATAAACATTCTCTTTCTCTACAGTCATATGAAAATGGCAAGTGTAGGTTATTTATGTGAGCAAACACGTTAGGTTTCTGTATATGTTTTGTGAATAGGGTGTGTAATGATATACTAGGTTTTTAGATTATTGTATTTTGTTAATGTGTGTAAATAAAGACTTATTATTATCAATGTTAACAAAGTTAGTTAAAAGGATCATTGGTAGGAAATGGTCGGTTCCCGTTGGCGCGGGAATTTGAGGTGAAGTTCAGCTTCAAATCTAATCTAATGGGGGATACAGTGTATAATAAAACCCATCGCTCCGCCATTGGACATAAAGCCCTTTGAACATGTACAGTAGCTACAGCCAGAGCTTTATCTACTTCCGCACCGGCAACTAGAGACCGTAATGGTAAGAAATTTGTATATTGTAACATATTTGTTGATAACGTGAGTAGTAGGCACTTTATACACTGTTGATTATCGTGAACAATCTCAAATACACTATATACAAAAGTAGGACAAAAAAAATATCATAAACTAATCTATAAAGGTAGGTAGGTACCTTTACACTATCATATTTCTCATGTGATTTGTCATATGATAAGTAACAAGCATTTAGAGTTGTGTTTACACTATTCTATTTTTGGTATTATGACTGTCATAAGACAAATCACAAGGAAAATAATATGGAAATAATACGTAAATCGTGGAATAGGAATGTTTCTATTTCTGCATGACAAATGACATGACATTTTAAATATCCAAGTGATTTCCGGATCGATCTGAGCCAATTTTTTTTCGGGGCAAAAAAAGGGCTGTGTATAACCTTCCTTTTTTCCAAAAATCGACTGCACCAAAATTTCTCGGGAAAATACTTTTTCTTATTAATTTTGGTGCGTAGAATCCAAAACAATTCGTACTTTTTCGATCAGACTTTTCAATCAAAAGTTATAGACTAGAAACCAATTTCGAAAGAAAATTCAAAGGGCTGTAACTTTTGAACTAGTAGCCCAATCTTGGAACTTAGAACATTTTAATTTAGAGAAGTTATATATGGTTTCGTAACTTCTTGTATTAAAGTCATATGAATAACCTGTCAAGTGTAAAGTAAAACATTAAAACTCTTACGAAAAATATGTTGGTAGTAAATATCATATAAAAATTCATGTGAGATATATTATAGTGTAAAGGTACCTTTAAGATAGGTCAGAAATCGAAAGCATGTGGATTCGTCTTTACTTAAAAAATACAGTATAAAAAACGTATTGCACCGCTACTGGAGGTGATACGCCATGAAAATGGAAGTTGACCGTTATCGGCACTTGAGTTACAGCCAGAGCTGTTTCTAGATTTCTACGTCGGGCGTCGGTAGTGAGAGCTAGACTCTAACGAGGTATGTAATTTGTATTGATTAAAACCAAACCGTATTTTCCATAAATAAAAACATTATTTGATAACGTTATTGTCCCTAGATATGGATGAAAATGGTACTGCACCACTGATTAAAATCGAACCAAAACAAGAACAAGAAATCCATTCAGATCTTCGGGGAAGTATTTTAGTAAGCAACGAAGCGGTGGTTACAGTAAAGGACGAAATTACCATCACTGCACAGTGTTCAAAATCGCTCAATATTGAAGGGGTACAACAACAAACTGAATGGAGTTGGGATATTAAAACTCAAATTTCCAACGTTATTGAATGTGACTTTGAACAACACACAACAGACAGGGGTCTGCAAGGTAAACAACATCTATTGAAGCATAATGTTTCTAAAGGCTTTAACTGTGCTCATTATGATTATGGAACGAAGAATAACCAACTGTTTCAACAGCACATTTTAACACACAAACGTAATGCGCTACAATGCCCTAATTGTGATTACAAAATACATAAAAAATATCTCTTAAAACGACACCTTTTAAAACATAAAATTTCTAAAGATATTAAATGTGCTCATTGTGAGTATAGAACAAATAATAAACGTAATCTGAAACGCCACCTTTTAAACCATGTTGATTTTAAATTTTTTAAATGTGCTCATTGTGATTTTGGAACAAATGATAGGCAATGTCATAAACTACACCTTTTAAAACATACCTATTCTACATATCTTAAATGTACTAGTTGCGATTATAAGACAAATAACAAATACCGCTTTAAACGGCACCTTTCAAAACATTCCTATTCCAAAGATTTTAAATGTGCTAATTGTGATTACGAGGCAAATAGCAAATACTGCTTAAAACAACACGTTTTGAAACACACCGGTTTTAAAGATTATAAATGTGCTGATTGTGATTACAAGGCAAATAACAAAAACTACTTAAAACGTCACCGTTTAATACATATCGATTCTAAAGATTTTAAATGTGGTACTTGTGGTTATCACACAACTGATAAATACTGCTTTAAACGACATCTTTTAAAACATTCCAATTCTAAACAATTTAAATGTGCTCTTTGTGATTACGAGACCAATATCAAATACCACTTTAAACGACACCTTCTAACACATACCGATTCTAAAGGTTTGAGGTGTGCTAATTGTGATTACCAAACAAATGATAAATACAACTTTAAGCAACACCTTTTAAAACATACCGATTCTGAAGATTTCAAATGTGCTAATTGCGATTACAAGGCAATTAACGAATACTGCTTAAAACGACACCTTTTAAAACATATCGATTCTAAAAATTTTAAATGTGCTCATTGTGATTACGGATCGAATAATAAACGGTATCTTAAACGACACCTTTTAAAACATGTAGATTCTAAAGATTTTAAATGTGTTCATTGTGACTATAGCACAAATATTAAACGATATCTTACACGTCACCTTTTAAACCATATCGATTCTAAAGATTTTAAGTGTGCAAATTGTGATTACGAGACAAATAACAAATACCACTTTAAACGACACCATTTAACGCACACGTAGTTCTAGGAGGGATATTTGTAAATGTTACGAGGTGCTCACTTCAAAAAAACAAAATAAAAACCAAGTATTAATAGCTTAAGCATTTGGAAGGACCAAAACAGGTTTTTTTTATATTTACATGAATTTCTGAAAACCAATTTTGACTGGGAATTAAACGGCTTAATAAGAAAAGTTATCGTTGTAATTTGCAATTTTGATAAAAATACAAAACACTGCCATTTACATAGCTAGGAGAAAGTGTACCTTAGCTTTATCATTTACCTCCCTCACCACTAGCAACCGCAATTTAGCATCATACTGTTGCGTAAACTGCAGGGGGTCTCGTTTCTCTACGTTGAAATAATACCGACGATGAGAGCGAACCACCCTGTAGTTGAAAATTTAAGTGCTGTAAACGTAATTTAGGTTTAGTGTTAAGCCGGATTTATAGTTCCGTAGCCGTAAGAACGGAACCGTAAAATCTTACGTTAACGAAAATTATACGATTTAGTTACCGTAGTGGTAAGAGATGATCTTGCGCCACGAACTTATGTCATCTGTCAGTAAGAGTAACGTGCATTTCAAAATAATAATAACCAACAAAGTGTCAATAATTATTGTAAATAAACGAAACGAACGTCAGGATAAACTCAACTGTTTGAATGATCCGAGTAGTACCGAAGACAAGCGCGTTAGCACGATTTACCGTAAGAAATAAATTTTGGGCATTTCCTACGTACCGTAACCGTTGTAACGCAACGTTAACGCGAATTATAAATCTTCACACCAAACAAGTAGGGTTTAATTCCAAACGTTACGGTACGGTGTTGCGGGTACGGAACTATCAATTCAGCTTTAGAAATTTCAGTTTGTTTAGGACCCGAGGGAAACTCTGTCAAATCGACACAGAATTTGAGTCATTGTAATGTTCAGTTTTTGTATCGTAAATTTAGAGTTTGTGTAAATAATTTTGGTTGTGAGATGTCTATATCCCTTTAAATACCCTGTATATTTCAACGTCGGATGCAACCGGTCAAGTAGTTGGAGATTCTGGGGACATGAGCCAACGCCATCATCACCTGTCGATATTTTTTTTGGTAGCTTCCGGAGGATGTTTGGGGATTTTAGGGTGCTTGGCGTCACATCATCACTTGTTGGTTGTTAAAGCTTGTTGATGGTGGGCTTATTGTATTTTAAGTTGTATCAATAGTTTAGCTTTGTTTTTGGTGTTTGTGAGTTTAACCAATTTGGTGTCGGGTAAAGTATTTTATGTAGTTTACTCTTATGCACTTATATGAATAGTGCCATTTGTTAAATCAGATATTTTCCAACCACCATTGCGCTAATACGTAATTTACAACATGCAAGGTGTTAACTAATATCCATGTGCTTGTGGAAGTCTACAATATCTCAGGTTTAGACCACGTTTACTCAGTTACACGGTGCACGGGGGTGTACCTATGTCGAACCTCGACTTCCGTGAAGTAGGGCATGCAATGCTAGGTGTATTTAGTTTAGGGTGACTCGTAACATTCGCGAATGTGTGTGCCTTGTTGTATGTAACTAATATCTTTCTACCGTGAGAGGGAGCTCGGATGCTAGAATAGAAAGGTGTTCTAGAGCTAAGGCATAAAAAGATCCGAGGGCCCTCGAAACTCCAACTCTAGGGATGAAGTGCTGTAACAAAGGCTGTTAGCGCAATTTGATTAAAAATCAAGTTATATTACAATATAGTAACAAAAAAGTTGTTTTGAGTTGTTGTCAAAATAAACAGAATTGAAATAGTATATTATATACCGCGGGACTGAAGTAGTACTTTTAATCCCGAAGGTAAAGTTTACCTGAGGGATTAAGACCACTACTTCAGTCGCAAGGTATATACGATATTTTTCGTACTTCCGAAACCGAAACACTTAATATGTATGGAGTTAGAGAACGCGTTCTTTCAAAAAATCGCTGCTTAACAAGTTACCATAGGAACGTTGCCTTGGTATGACAATCCCTATGCTATGGTAACAAAAATAATTTGGAAACTGTCATTGCTAGTGTCATAATTTTGGTGGTGGGTGACAAAGGTGTATTTGATATTGACCAAAAGCAGCCAAACTAGGTATAGAATTGATACCACCGAAATCCAAAAAACTATATGAGCAGCAGTACGATGCGTTTAAGAAGTAGTGCCGCATACAAAATGTGGAACAACCTACTAAAATTGCCTTGTTAGTAATTTCATCCTTCCGGGATTTTCGTCTAAATTTAATCCCGGCGGGACAAAAAGTGACACTTCAGTACTTGTCATAAAGGAGTGAAGTTCTTACTTTAGTCCCGGAAGTACGAAAACGTAATTTTTGATTTTTCTCATTCTTAATTGCAAGAAGAAACATTTGGCGCCCGAGCAAAAAGTAACCTCGTGCTTTACGAAGAATCAATTCTACCGAATAAATAAACAACGTGAATCGCCAATTCGTCGATTCGTACCAACAATATTCAATCGGAAGCTACAAGAATCCAATATCTGTCCATTTGAGGATCATCTAACAGTGTCAACGACCAAATATCCTTTCCACAAATTCTCAATTTCTTTTGCGAGGTAAGAGTGATCATTCTAATTTGCTTTAAAATAATTCATAACGCACTGAATTTTATTTTGACCAGTAATGTCAAATAAAAATAAAGCATATGTAAAATCCCTTTTAGTAAAACGAGAATTTCTTTATAACAAGCTTAATGCCTTCTCATCATACATTAATGATTTAAAAGACGATTTCAATAAATCTGAGCTTAAATTACGTATCAATAAAATTGAAAATATACTTGAGGAATTTACTCATATTCATCTTCAGCTAGAAGAAATAGGGTCGACTTCTACAAATAATGTAGAAGAGCTTAATGAATTTGAAACTTTATTTTATTCATCAGTTTCTAAAAGCTATTTCTTCCATCGAAAATGTCTTGCCGTCCACCTCTGTAAATATGCCTATGTCACTGAATATTAAATTACCAGAATTAACGCTACCAAAGTTTAATGGTGACATGAATATGTGGTTGGAGTTTCGTGACAGCTTTTCAGCAATTATAGATAGTAATTCAAATCTTTCCAAGGTGCAGAAATTTCAATATTTAAAATCAACATTATCCGATGAAGCCTTAAGAATCATTCAGAGTATCACGCTTTCCGATGATAACTATACTGTGGCATGGGAACTAAAAACGATTTAATAAAGAAGAAGTACTTATTGATAATCACATAAAATCATTATTGAAGTTACCATACTGCAAAACAGAATCATCCGAAGCGATCAGAAAATTTGTAGATTCTGTAAATAAAAACGTTCGTTGTTTGCAACTTCTAAAGGTACCGGTCGAGCACTGGGATTTACTGTTGATTTCTGTTATATCCGAAAAATTGGATGAATATACCTTTAAAGAATGGGAGAAATATAAAGCAAATAATAACAACAGGATCAGTTTAAAGGTAATGTTAACATTTTTAGAAAGAAAGGCTGACGTTTGTATGAAAATCAATAAATGTCAAAGGTCATACGATAATAGTAAACCTAAAATGAATTTAAACGTCACATCAAATAAGGTTGTGTCAAATCACATCCGTCTATAATTACAAGCCGTGCTGAGAATTATGGCAACACTGCATGGTAGGCCGATTTCCTAATTCAACTTGACAGAGATTTCAGGTGTATTTTATACGTGTTTTGGGTGTAATATTCCTATTTACCTGTTTTAACAGAGCGAGATTGCGACAATTTGTGTTACTCCGTATGGAATGAACAGAAATTACTATTCAGGTAAGTTGCTAAACGAAATATATTGATTTGTTGTCTTAACCTCTAAAGCAGGCTACTTGTTACTGGACCCTTTACAAGCACTTGTATTTGTTCAAAGTACCTGTACAAGCTCAAATATGACCTACACACTACGTGGTACGTAAGTACGGTAAGTGTTTATCGTGAAAAAATGCAATTAGTTTGTATTTCAGGTATTCTAGCACGGACATGTCAAATCGATTTTCTGAAGGAACCTTTCAACTTATTCCCAAGAGTTCATGGTACGGGAATTTGAAGTCTACGGGGCTCCCCTCTTTAAAAGCTTCGTACCTAGACCCACTGGAGTAGCGACGGGCTTAAAATCTGCCATTCTGAATCGCACCTGGTGGTTGATAAAACCTCGCTGATGCACAGCGATTTACTGTCCTTTTGCCGAAATTAAGTGCTCAAGCGTGTGCTTCACCTCCACCTCTTTCGACAGAAGTTCACCAATTTCGGAGATCTCGATGGAAAACACATTATGATGCAGTTACCAATTTCAGCGTTCCGAATTTTAAAGTCAAATAAAAATGTTATTATCCATTTTTGTAAATAAATAATATATGTGCGCAATTGTAAGCTGCCTAAGTATCTTTCTTCTATATTAAAACCGCCAAGGCGAAACACAGGAGAGAGGAAAAATGCCATTTTTCAAGAGCAACAAGACGCCATTAAAACTTACATCGGCCCACGAATTGACTTTCGAACAACGTTGCCAAACTTCTCAGCATGGCTTGTAATTATAGACGGCTGTGGTCAAATCATTCAAAAACGTCATCTTGTCCGATTTGTAATGCTAATCACTTAATATTTGCATGTGCGCAGTTCGAAAATTTGTCCCCTCAGGATAGGTACCAATTAGTAAAACAAAAAGGTCTGTGTACAAATTGTATTCAATTTAATCATGCGAGTCGAACATGCAAATCTGATACTTGTAAAAAGTGCTATAAACGGCATCATACACTGTTACATTTCGAAGAAGTGACTCCAGTAAATGTGGGACAAATTTCAGAATTTCAGGAAAATGATGAAGTATCTGATGTTGAAGAAATAAGTATGACTATTAGCAGTAATTGCAATCATTCTAATATTTTACTTTCAACTGTGGTAGTACATGTGATGAGTGCACAAGGTAATATCTTTGCTTGTAGAGCTTTGTTGGACTCAGGATCACAATCATGCTTTATTACTGAAAGTATGTTTAATAAATTATGTCTAACAAAAATTCCAACAAAAATATCTGTGATAGGAATTAATAATTCAGTGAGCAATATACTAAATAAATGCGAACTAATAATAAAATCGCGAATTAATTCGTTCATTACAACAATGTCTTGTTTAATTACGCCTAAGATTACAGGACGATTACCTGATAGATTAATAAACAATTCTTTAAAAATACCTAATCATGTAAAACTAGCGGATCCAAATTATTACGAACCGCAAGATGTAGATTTATTAATCGGTGCATCTCTCTTTTGGCATTTATTGCGCGAAGGTCAAATTTCTTTAGGTTTTAATAAACCTATACTGCAGAATACTTCTTTAGAATGGATTATTTCGGGATCAATAAATTCAAAAGAAAATGATCATACTATTGCGTGTAATGTAGTGAAGGTTTCAGATAACTTTATATTACAAGAACAACTTGCAAAATTTTGGGAGTTGG